TGAGGTAATGAAAGACATGTTTGATCCATTCTAATATTGACGAGTTGGTGTAGAGCTAAATCTTGCTAACAGATTTATCACAAATACTATGTATGGTCTCATACATTGTCCAGATGGAGAGTAGCGTTTAGGCCCCTTTATCATAGTTATTTCCATATAGTGGCCTCATATTGGAGCTTCACAAGGTTCGAGATTTCCAAAAACTATTCATTAATAAGAGTAATGTAATTAGTTTGCATCTTCTAGATGCATGTCATAGGATGCATTCTGGCATCCAAAAATATAAAATATAAAATGTGATAATTGTAAAGAAACGATAAATTAAATGACGATAATAATTGCGTGTAATAAAATAAAGTAATAATTGACTTCAGAACTTTGGGTTTCGATATCGAAATCATGAAACTTTAGATCTTAATATTAAAATCAAAATTTTGAATTTAATTTTCATGATATGGAGCTTTAAGTCCATTCTTATCTCTGTTTTACAAACTTTATATTTGTAACAAGTATTCAGAACATCTAGTTTTAAAACAATATTTATTTATAAAACTTCTAGTTCATTTATCATATATAAGATAGAAGCAGAATTACTAACTTTAGCTATCGAAAATATAATAAAAGTAAATGCAATCCTAAATGCGGTATTTAACGATAATAAATAGGTTCGTCCATAAAAGCTGTATTTAACAATAATAAACAGGCCTAGCCATAAAAATGATATTTAATAATAATAAATAGATCTAACAGTAATGGCGATAGCATAATTAAAGAACACAAGTAGAATTAATTTGTTTACATAATCAAAACCTCAAAGCTTTTATAATCAAGTAATCACTATTAAATCCATCTTAATAGAAGAAAAATCTTGTTTCATTCCTATTTAAAAACAAAACACACGCTGTCACAAATTCTCATTGAGGAAATTTGTGATACTCAAATGTTTAAACTCTTTTGATCAAGTAATTAATTGTAAATTTCATCTTGATAAAAGAAAAATCCGGTTTCATCCCCATTAAAATAAAATACTCAGTATCACAAATTCTCATTAAGAAAAGTTGTGATATCTGGAGTGATTGATTTTGTCTCATGCTTTACTTTTAATTTTGATACCAGTAAATATAAAATTTTGAAATAAAAGTAGGGAAGAAGAAGAAGAATTTTTATATTACAATTATATCCCTACCTCATTAACTCAATAACTTGTAAATGTTGGACTGTAATAGATCAATGGTTAAAAATTTGTGTCAACAATTTAAGTCATAAATCTAAGTTAAAAGATCCCAACCCATTAAATAAAGTCACTGTAGAATTTACCAGACTTTTCAATACTTATACGTGGAAAAACCATTGCCAATAGTAGAACCATACCAAGGTTACTAATTATCACGAAAACAATAAAAGTTGAATGTGTTGAACATAAGACTTATACATGATATGCACATTAGCGAAAACGGCCAATCTACGGCTAGAGATCTAGCCACAACGGCCGATTTTGGCCAGATCGTGTATGAAGGGTAGATCCAACCGATCTGTGTCATTCCAGTGAGTGGCCGGAGGCGGCAGGCGGTTGGGTGGGTGGGGTGTTTTTTAATTTTAAACTTTTATTTAGGGGTGTTTAGCTAAATAACAAAGTAGGAGGCTGAAAAATATCTTAAATATTTCCAGAAAATGTTTTCAAAAAGTATCAAACAATTTTCAGCATTTTATCCAACTTTGATATAATTTTACATTAATACTAGCCTCACTAACACCTCTCACTAACCCCAGTGGCAATTTGCAATTGGCTTGGTCACGGTGGACCATTGATAGGCAGGACCCATGCGAGCTGATTAATTGCGAGCCAACACGTGACGTTTGTGAGAGAAAGTTAGTGAAAAGTGTTGTGTAGTGTAGTATTACTCATAATTTTAAGATATATCCAAACACATTCTCAGAATCCTATACTATTCGATTTAATCCAACTCAACCAACTTAAAATTTTCAAAATAACATTTTTCAAATAATCTACTAAACAAACCCTAAATCACGCAAAAAAAATGACATTTAGAATAAATAAACCTTAGACTTATACCTCCTTACACGACAACACATTTCCACCCACGCTATTAACGAGAAATAAATCACCCGCATGATTTTGGCCATCAAAATGTATCTTATATAAAATTTCAAAAAGATCACTTCATTAATTTTAATTTTTAGCATTGCCACATGAGTAACATTATTGGTAGAGAAATTTACTTAATTCAAACCAAGGGCTTTTACCACTAAGCCAACCTTTGACACAAAACCCTAATCACTTTCTCATCATTCTCGGTGTGCCTTGCTTTAATTATGTATTTGATAATACCAAAAGCAGTTCAATTAGTTAAAGTGCTTTTATATCCATTTTGAAAGTGCTTTTTAAGATCAAAAAGCTTGATTAGAAACGATCTATAAGTGCTTCTGAAAAAAGTTGTACAAAAAAACCCAATCGAACCCAAACACCATCGAAAAGATTCCACATTGACAAAAAAAAATAACAACAGAATCAAAAAAAAAAAAACGAAATAAAATTTTTAGGGTTTAAAATGAAAAAAAAAACCTGGAGGTTGTGAGTTTGATGTGGGACAGATCTTGCGAACGGCGGCGCGGGAGGATTCAGAGCTCCGAGAAAGTGAGCAAGGGCAGGGGAGATAGGACCCGCCTTAAGAATTCCAACGGGTCGACCAGAGCCTGGAGCTTTGGGCTTGGGTGGAGATTTGGCTCTGGGTTTTTGGTGGTGGTGGGTAGTTTTGGTGGCGGCAGAGGTTGAAGAAGAGGCCTTAGCCGGAGCCAAGAGAGCCCGGCAACCGTTGAAACCCTAGAAGCAGCGGAAGACACAAGTTGCTCTCAAAGTGTTCGTTGATTTGCTGAAAAAAGAGTAAATTATTAAGGACCAGATTTTATAAGCAGAGGACAGTGGTCAAGTAAACAGTAATTAGCTGCTGTAAAACAGTTAAAAAATAATTATAATAACAAACAAAACAAAAGGTAACTGTTTTTGGTAACTTTTGCGTGCACTTTTTCGAACTTTTCAAGTTAAATCTAATGTATTAGTTAGCATAGCCAACTTTTCGGAAATATCAAAAACCCTCCAAGAGAGGGGGTGTTTAATAGTTTTAAAAAATGGATGCAACAGGAAGATGTATGAAATAAACCCTTTTAAAATATTGAAAATAATTAAAAAAATATGAAAAACAAAATGGTATATATTATGAAAATGGTCTAATTTTTGAAAACATAAATAAAAAGTTGAAAAATACATGACTTATAACCTAATTAAACACCTCAAATTACCGTTATTTTGTTTATTCAAACAGTATGTCTCAAATATGTAAATTTTTTAATCACAATTCTAGTTTATGATAAAAAAACATTTGAAACAAATTTATATTTATGAGAGAAGATAAAGAGAAAAGGCAAAAAGATTGAATTTTTTTATTAAATTTGTATCTATCCTTGCTCCTAAATCTATTTTATGTGAAAATATGAATAAAAAATTAATATACAAATGCTTATGTTACAAAACAAAAAGAGTTTGTAAACAAAAATAAGGGCGAGCATGGGTAAAGGGTAGATTCAAAAGTGGAACCAGCCCATTAAGGTCGGTTCTAGAAAATTGCAATTGGGAATTTCTGGGTCTGGTTTCGGTTCCTACAATACTGGAAACGAAACCAAGATTCCAGTACCGGGTAGGAATAAGGATTAAATTGTATTTTTGTAAACTATTGAATGTATTTGTAATTTTTGGGGGTGTATTTGTCATTTTTCAAAAAATTGGGGATAATAATTATCTGGGTACCTAATCGGAACGGACCTAGTTTCAGGTTTAAAAATCGGAACCAACCAATTTAGTTCTGGTTCCAATTCTGAATCTTAAGAATCGGTCAGTTCTAATTCTTTTAAAAAATGCAGGATACCCGAAACCGATCTCCCTTAAAACAAACAGGCCTTATTTTCAAAAAATAATATGCGCTTCAAAAACTATTTACATGAGGAAAGCTACTATATTCTTTATTAAAAAAAAAATATATAATTTTTTATTGTTTTACAATATTATACCAAAGAATAATATATAATTTTTAATTCAAATAAAATACAGAACAATTTTTTTGTTGAAAGTTGAGGATGAAAAGATAATTTTTAATGAGTAATGCTACAGTCACCGAATTAGTGTACCAAATTTATGCACCGAATGACGTGACAAAATCCTGACCATTGATTAATATAATCGACGGTCAGGATTTTGTACATCATTCGGTGCATGAATTCGGTATATGACCTTCGGTGGCTGTATTCTTTCCGAGTTTTAATTAATAACGTGTGTACTTAGCAAAATAAACTAATTTTTTTTTAATAATTATCATCCTATTATAAAATATTTTAAAATTTTCGTTAATAGTTTATATAAGAATATCTCCAAGAATCTTTATATGAGTCAAACTTTTATTATAAGAGTTATCTAAAAACAAGAGTTCAACATATTCTTTATTTTAAAATATAAATAGAGAGTGAGAGTCAAATTTCATCTTCTATCCAATTTTAATTAATAAACTACAAGTTCCTATGCATTTATTATTAATTTTTTCTCATTAAGTCTCTTTTTTAAATAAAGAACCTTCATTAAATTTAAAGAGATATTGGATTTGAATAAAAATTATGTTCTTTATATTAAAAATAATTAGAGTGCTCTTTATTATATAAAAGATACTCTTCAAAATAAAGAGCTTTTGAAGAGCATGATGCATGTTTATTAATAAAAAATAAATCACATTGGGAGAAAATTATGTAAATCCAACTGTATTTTATAAGTTGTTGTCAAAGTTAATTTTTTGTATGATCATCACTAATAACTTTCTCTTCTTTTTTTTTTTTTTTTGTGTTTTTACATGTGTCATTGAATGGCAAATCATAGAAATGAAATTGAAATTTAAGAGTATAGTGCTTCTGCACAATTGATATGAAATAGAAACTGAAACATGTCTGTGAGGGTTCTTTGCAATGGCTGGGTGTACATGAATAATGTGTACTATTTATTGTTTACTGATGTAAAATGGACCTAACCTGAAAAAGTGTTGCAAATTATATGTTGAAAAGAACTAGGACAATGTGTTGACAAGAGGAATTTGCAAATTATACTTCATTAAGTTTTTGCAAGTTAGAATATTGCTAAAATACTGAACCTAAATGAGTTATATAATTGCAGGTATATTCAGGGAGCTCGCTTCTTTGGAAATTCAAATGTTGATATTGATTCTGTTGTTGCTATTGACACTGAACAACCAATTTCTGAGGTTGCTGTCATGAACAACGAGACCAATTCAACATCAGTTTCAACTGCGTTTCGTGCTAGATTTATCGGACAGGGGTACAAGCAGGTAAACTTAATGATCTATGCACCTCATCATATATCAAAAAGGAAAATAAATGAAATTAACTTTGAGAGTTGATTTCTCTATTTTGATGTTTCTATCCTCTGCATGTTTCTTGCGTAAACCAGGATGAACCTGTGAGTTGATGTTAGTAGTTAATTGGTGCATATTGATAAATCAGGTGTGCGGGCAGGCTGATGTATGGGGTGATGGAATCGTGCCGGAAGTATCAGCCTATCTCGAGGGTGCACTAAACGTTAGCTTGGACGGAGTTTATCACTCACCAGTTGGTTCAGACGACATATTGAGACCCTGGTATGGTTCTCCTGCTGTAGTAGAAAAATGGATACACCACCTCCTCAACTAGTTATACCCGAGATGCTTCACCGAAAAGAATAATTATTCATGTACTGGTGTACGTATGAAATCATTATCTCATTGCATTGCATTCTTTTCTTATGCTTATTTTGCTATCAGTATTATTTACATTCTTTCGTTTTGCTGCATTTGTCTTATTAAAGTTCAAGAAGCAACAAGCTAATACCAGGCCACCAGGGCGTTTTCTCATTTAGTTAATTTGGTTTTCTGATTAAACTTCAACGGGAAGCTTGCAAGTCTTTGAAATTCAATGGTCACTCTTCACTGCCTTTCACATCTTTACTCACAAGTTGACAAATTTGGGAAACTACCTATTTTCTTTAGGCAATACAGAAGGTCCTTTTCTTTCTCCGGATTATAGGAGCACCTAAATAACATAAATTCTCAAGATAATCGAGATTAAATGAATGCTCTTCATCAGTACATTATTTTCTGATGGTAAAAACTGAAGAAGCATCGGTTAGGTATCATAAACTAAAATAAACTGGAAAATTGAAAAAGAAATGACACTATCTACTATCTTCGAGGCCACGATACCTTAAAGACTCTTCATTAATAATTTTTACAACATGTCCACCTAAACAACTAAGCCACAAACCCAACCCAAGAGTTCTGCTGTCACACAAAAGTATGCATCAATATTACAACTTCCAGAAAAGAAAGGACACAAGAGCAAGCTCATAAGAGTTGGGCAGCAATTTAAAGCCAAACACCTACATCTGATATCAGAACAGCAGTCAAGCAGTCTTCACAAAATGAGGGGACAACAGTTTCCCAATCTCCAGGAATCCAACTGTATCTTTACCATCAAAAATGGCCTTAAGCTTGGCATCACAGACGATTTCCCGCTTGTTCTGAGGATTCTGCAGCCAAACGCATCCACATATTACCGTATGCCAAATCATTTCCAACCACAGAAATTCAGATACATGTACCTTAACACTGATAAGCTATATGTGATATCCATGAGATTAAATAAATTCAAAGCATGACCAAAATACAGAAAGCAAATCAACACTCAGAATCGGACATAAGTGCCCTCCCCATTACATCTAAGTAGGCAGGACATATAGAAATAACAATATAGCAGGCCCCTTCCAAGCAAGTTTTAGACATAATATAATCTCAAAAGTTTACCTGCCTCATAATAGAGGACAATGTAGTTTTTAAAGAACAGGGCTCGGGTCAGAAAGTGCAAGATCTCATTGAAAATTCAAGCCTACACCAACCCACAAAGCCTGCAAATTGATTTTAGTTCACATATAGGGCGCGAACAAAAGAGAAATAAGTTTAACAGCCAAAATTATAACGCCATTGAGTAAACTGATCCACACAGCAGAAGGGAAAAGTAACAAAACAAACCTCGGTTGGTTTCTGTAATGCAATCATTAATTTAACAGGCATAGCTGAAGAATAAATAGTTCTGGTTATCCCTCAGTTTACGAAGTTCACTCTAGAATTTACCAGACTTTTCTAGTACTTGCTATACGTGGAAAAGCCATTGCCAAATAGTAGAACTCCATACCCAAGGTTACTACATTATCACGAAAACAATAAAAGTTGAATGTGTTGAACATAAGACTTATACATGATATGCACATTAGCGAAAACGGCCACATCTACGGCTAGAGATCTAGCCGTTGACAACGGCCAGATTTTGGCCAGATCGATGTATGAAGGGTCAGATCCAACCGATCATGTGTCATTCCGTTGATAGTGGCCGGTAGGCGGCAGTGGGTTGGGTGGGTGGGGTGTTTTTGTTAATTTTTAAACTTTTATTATAGGGGATGTTTAGCTAAATTAACAAATGTAGGAGGCTGAAAAATAATCTTAAATATTTCCAGAAAATGTTTTCAAGAAAAGTATCAAACAATTTTTCAGCATTTTATCCAACTTTGATATAATTTTACATTAATACTAGCCTCACTAACACCTCTCACTAACCCCACGAGGCAATTTGCAATTGGCTTGGTCACGCGGGACTCATTGTTGGATAGGCAGGACCCATGCGAGCTGATTAATTGCGAGCCAACACGTGACGTTTGTGAGAGAAAGTTAGTGAAAAGTGTTTGTGAGTGTAGTATTACTCATAATTTTAAGATATTATTCCAAACACATTCTCAGAATCCTATACTATTCGATTTAATCCAACTCAGCTCAACTTAAAATAGTTTTTCAAAATAACATTTTTCAAATAATCTACTAAACAAACCCCAAAATCATGCAAAAAAAATGACATTTAGAATAAATAAACCTTAAGACTTGCATACCTCCTTACACGACAACACATTTCCACCCACGCTATTAACGAGAAATAAATCACCGCGCATGATTTTTGGCCATCAAAATGTATCTTATATAAAATTTCAAAATGATCACTTCATTAATTTTAATTTTCTAGCATTGCCCACATGAGCTAACATTATTGAGTAGATATAATTTACATGATTCAAACCAAGGGCTTTTACCACTAAGCCTAACCTTTGACACAAAACCCTTAATCACTTTCTCCTATCATTCTCGGTGTGCCTTGCTTTCTAATTATGTATTTGATAATACCAAAAGCAGTTTCAATTAGTTAAAAGTGCTTTTATATCCATTTTGAAAGTGCTTTTTAAGATACAAAAAGCTTGATTAGAAAGCATCTATAAGTGCTTCTGAAAACAGTTGTACAAAAACACCCCAATCGAACCCAAACACCATCGAAAAGATTCCACATTGACAAAAAAAAAAATAACAACAGAATCAAAAGAGTAAAATAAAACAAAATAAAATTTTTAGGGTTTAAAATGAAAAAAAGAAACCTGGAGGTTGTGAGTCTTGATGTGGGACCAGATCTTGCGAACGGCGTCGGCGCGGGAGGATTCAGAGGCTCCGAGAAAGTGAGCAAGGGCAGGGGAGATAGGACCCGCCTTAAGAATTCCAACGGGTCGACCAGAGCCTGGAGCTTTGGGCTTGGGTGGAGATTTGGCTCTGGGTTTTTTGGTGGTGGTTGGTTTAGTTTTGGTGGCGGCAGAGGTTGAAGAAGAGGCCTTAGCCGGAGCCAAGAGAGCCCGGCAACCGTTGAAAACCCTAGAAGCAGCGGAAGACATAGTTGCTCTCAAAGTGTTCGTTGATTTGCTGAAGAAAAAGAGTAAATTATTAAGGACCAGATTTTATAAGCAGAGGACAGTGGTCAAGTAAACAGTAATTAGCTGCTGTAAAACAGTTAAAAAATAATTATAATAACAAAACAAAACAAAAGGTAACTGTTTTTGGTAACTTTTGCGTGCACTTTTTCGAACTTTTCAAGTTAAATCTAATGTATTAGTTAGCATAGCCAACTTTTCGGAAATTATCAAAAACCCTCCAAGAGAGGGGGGTGTTTAATAGTTTTTAAAAAATGGATGCAACAGGAAGATGTATGAAATAAACCCTTTTAAAATATTGAAAATAATTAAAAAAATATGAAAAACAAAATGGTATATATTATGAAAATGGTCTAATTTTTTTAAAACATAAATAAAAAGTTAAAAATACATGACTAAACACCCTCATATTATCGTTTATTTTATTTATCTCAAACAATATGTCTCAAATATGTAAATTTTTTAATCAAAATTCTAGTTTTATGATAAAAAAACATTTTGAAACAAATTTATATTTTATGATAGAAGATAAAGAGAAAAGGCAAAAAGATTGAATTTTTTTTATTAAAATTTGTATCTATCCTTGCTCCTAAATTCTATTTTATGTGAAAATATGAATAAAAAATTAATATACAAATGCTTATGTTACAAAACAAAATTGAGTTTGTAAACAAACTAAGGGCGAGCATGGGTAAAGGGTAGATTCAAAAGTGGAACCAGCCCCATTAAGGTCCGGTTCTAGAAAATTGCAATTGGGAATTTTCGGGTCTGGTTTCGGTTCCTACAATACTGGAACCGAAACCAAGATTCCAGTACCCGGGTAGGAATAAGGATTAAATTGTATTTTTTGTAAACTATTGAATGTATTTGTAATTTTTTGGGGGTTGTATTTGTCATTTTTCAAAAAATTGGGGATAATTAATTTATCTGGGTACCTATAATCGGAACCGAGACCTATGTTTCAGGTTCTTAAAAATCGGAACCAACCAATTTTAGTTCTGGTTCCAATTCTGAATCTTAAGAATCGGTCAGTTCTAATTCTTTTAAAAAATGCAGGATACCCGAAACCGATCTCCCTTAAAACAAACAGGCCTTTATTTTCAAAAATAATATTGCGCTTCAAAAACTATTTACATGAGGAAAGCTACTATATTCTTTATTAAAAAAAATATATATAATTTTTTTATTGTTTTACAATATTATACCAAAGAATAATATAATAATTTTTAATTCAAATAAAATACAGAACAATTTTTTTGTTGAAAGTTGAGGATGAAAAGATAATTTTTAATGAGTAATGCTACAGTCACCGAATTAGTGTACCAAATTTATGCACCGAATGACGTGACAAAATCCTGACCATTGATTAATATTAATCGACGGTCAGGATTTTGTCACATCATTCGGTGCATGAATTCGGTATATGACCTTCGGTGGCTGTATCTTTTCCGAGTTTTAATTAATAACGTGTGTACTTAGCAAAATAAACTAATTTTTTTTTAATAATTATCATCCTATTATAAAATATTTTAAAATTTTCGTTAATAGTTTATATAAGAATATCTCCAAAGAACTCTTTATATGAGTCAAACTTTTTATTATAAAGAGTCTATCTATAAAAACAAGAGTTCAACATATTCTTTATCTTTAAAATATAAATTAGAGAGTGAGAGTCAAATTTCACTCTCTATCCTAATTTTAATTAATAAACTACAAGTTCCTATGCATTTTATTTATTAATTTTTTCTCACATTAAGTCTCTTTTTTTAAAATAAAGAACATCTTCATTAAATTTAAAGAGTATATTGGATTTGAATAAAAATTATGTTCTTTATATTTAAAAATTAATTAAGATGCTCTTTATTTATATAAAAGATACTCTTCAAAATAAAGAGCTTTTGAAGAGCAAGTAAACTAATTTAAAATAGAGTCAAACTCAAAAGAGTAATTTCATTTGATTCCTTATACCCAAAATCATTATCCCATTCCTTATGTAAATTCCTACATTAATTTTAATTCCGTCATTAGTTTGGTCAAGTATACCCGACATGTTGTAATTTCTGTAATGCTATTTAATAACTAACTTGAGAAAATGATCAAGTAAACAAAGTAAAATAACAAGGATTAAGGTGAGATAATTAAGAGATATGATACTCAATCAATAAGCCTTAGTCCTCTTAATTTTTTTTGTTATAGAATGAAAGAGTATAATGCAAATACGTCTGGTACAATAAACCTTTCTAAAAACTCTCCTCTAATCGATGTTCCTCTTGATCAAAGCTTCTCCTTGTAATAGTAAAATTAATTTAGTAACTTATTAAGCTGTCGCATGTTAATGTTATACACTAACTTTTCAAATGTTGATGTTAGTAAAGCCTTAGTAAATAAATCTATAAGATTATCACTAGAGCGTATTTGTTTGACATCAATTTCTCAATTTTGCTGGTGTTCATGAATGTAAAAGAACTTCGATGAAATATGTTTGGTTTTGTCTCCTTTGATATATTCTCCTTTGACTTGAGCAATATAAGCTGCATTGTCTTCATTTATAATTGTGGAAGCATCTGAGATATGTGACAACTTACATGTATTTTCAATATGAAGGACGACAGATTTTAACCATACCCATTCTCAGCTAGTTTCATGAAGCGCAAGAATTACGGAGTGATTGGAAGTTGTGGCAACCAACCTTTGTTTTGTAGAGCGTCATGATATTGCAATGCCATTGAAAATAAAAACATATCCCATCTACGAGCGACCTTTATAGGGATCAGAAAGGTACCCAATATCTGTATACTAATTAATTTAGGATTATTAATAGATTTCTTTGGATAAAATAATCACAAATCTTTTGTTCCACTGAGGTAACGAAAATGATGTTTGATCCGTTCCAATATTGACGAGTTGGTGTAGAGCTAAATATTTCTTATAGATTTATCACAAATGCTATGTATGGTCTCGTACATTGTCTAGATGGAGAGTAGCGTTTAGGGCCCATTTATCATAGTTATTTCCATATAGTCGCCTCATATTGGAGCTTCACAAGGTTCGAGATTTCCAAAAACTATTCATTAATAAGAGTAATGTAATTAGTTCTGCATCTTCTAGATGCATGTCATAGGATGCATTATGGCAACAAAAAATATAAAATATAAAATGCGATAATTGTAAAGGAATGATAAATTAAATGACGATAATAATTGCGTGTAATAAAAGAAAGTAATAATTGACTTCAGAACTTGGGATTTAAACTTTAGATCTTGAGATTAAAATCAAAATTTTGAATTTTATCTTCATGATATGGAATTTTAGGTCCATTCTTATCTTTGTTTTACAAACTTCATATTTGTAACAAGTATTCAAAACATCTAGTTTTAAAACAATATTTATTTATAAAACTTCAAGTTCATTTATTATATATAAGATGGAAACAAAATTACTAACGTTAGCTATTGAAAATATAATAAAAGTAAATTCAATCATAAAGACGGTATTTAACGATAATAAATAGGTTCATCCATAAAGGTTGTATTTAACAATAATAAACAAGCCTAATCATAAAAGCGATATTTAACAATAATAAATAGATCTAACAGTAATGACGGTAGCATAATTAAAGAACACATATAGGATTAATTTGTTTACATAATCAAAACCTCAAAGCTTTTATATTCAAGTAAATCACTTTTAAATCTATCTTGACAAAAGAAAAATCTTGTTTCATTCCTATTTAAAAACAAAACACACAGCTATCCCAAATTCTCATCGAGGAAATTTGTGATACTCAAATGTTTAAACTCTTTTGATCAAGTAATTAATTGTAAATTTCATCTTGATAAAAGAAAATTCTGGTTTCATTCCCATTAAAATAAAACACCAAGTATCACAAATTCTCATTAAGAAAAGTTGTGATATCTGGAGTGATTGATTTTGTCTCATGCTTTACTTTTAATTTTGATACCAGTAAATATAAAATTTTGAAATAAAAGTAGGGAAGAAGAAGAAGAATTTTTATATTACAATTATATCCCTACCTCATTAACTCAATAACTTGTAAATGTTGGACTGTAATAGATCAATGGTTAAAAATTTGTGTCAACAATTTAAGTCATAAATCTAAGTTAAAAGATCCCAACCCATTAAATAAATTATTCATTAACTTTTTTTTTTATAAAATCACTAAAATGATTTATTTAGATAAATATTGTTAATAAAATTTAACTAAAAATAAATGTAATTTAAAACAATACAAACTATAAAGTGTACCAAATAAACGCACCCTTATATTTGTTATAATATTATATAATACAATATTATTTACATTATAATAATATATAATATTGCACATAGAACATCTTACAAGTCCAATAAACAAAGATAATTCACAAATGTGATAGATATATCTCTTGGGACTCGAACACAAGGACTCTTGAATATAACTAACTTTAGTAGTTAAAGAGTTTACCATCCTATCACAAGCGGAGATGTAAACTATACCTTTTTTTTCTTTGGAATACAATTACATTTTTTTTTTTTTTTTTTTTTTTTTTTAATCTTTGAACCTCGTTGGCTCTCGTTTTGGGACTTGCATGTTACCCTTAAACAATTTAATTCACACATTAATAAATTAAAAAATTTCAAAATAAAAACTCGGGAAAATATATAAAGTTCTTATTGCTCTTCCAGAATATTTGAGATAAAGTATATATTACCTTATCAAAATTATTACAATATTCAAAATATTTATAAATAAAAAAATTATATTTAAATCCTTATTATAAAAACATAATTAAAACCTGCATAAGTAACAGTTTTTCTTTAAGAAAGATGAAAAATGGAATAAAAAGATAAATAATAATAATTTAATTAAGAAGGAGAGAAATGAGAAGAGTGCCTGCGAGTCTCTCGTCCTCAANCCTTATTATAAAAACATAATTAAAACCTGCATAAGTAACAGTTTTTCTTTAAGAAAGATGAAAAATGGAATAAAAAGATAAATAATAATAATTTAATTAAGAAGGAGAGAAATGAGAAGAGTGCCTGCGAGTCTCTCGTCCTCAAGCGCCTCTTCCCCTCCTTATCCTCTTATGTTATCACAAAACAAATATCCTATTCCATTCCCTTTCACTCTCTCTCTCTCTTTAACATTTTCTCATGTTCGAATACTGAAAAGTGGAATCGATGTCCAACCAATTCTAGTTTGGAACCAACCAACATGTCCTGTCTACTTCCTCACTTCAAGTGCCAGCCAGACTCTTTCTCTATCCATTTCAAAATTCACCCTCCCCACCCCTGTAAGTATTCAGTGCTTCTATGGATTCTAAATCAATACTATTCAAATGGGTTTGTGCTTTATTTGTTTATTGAGTGGAAACCGTTGACAAACTTATGCCGTCTTTTGAATTTCCAATTTGAATGCCCAGATGACTTTATTTGAATCCCAAATCAAATAATAGATGACCATTGTCTTTATTTTAATTATAATCAATTGGATGGTTTTGTTTGTTTGTTGCGTTTTAGTGCATTTTCAAGCACTTCTAGGAACTTCCTTATGCGTTCGTGTGTACTCAGAGATTTAGTTGTGCCTCATAAGTTTTTCAATAAATATTTTCTTGGGCCTTTTTTAATCTTGTAATGCTCAGTAACAGTACCAGAAAATAGCCCAGATTTATTAGCATTAGGGGAAAAACCAACCAAGATTTATTGTTTGTTATCTTTTATGTAGAGTTATATGTAAATATTATATGTATTATTTTTCATTTTATGGATTTTTGATTGAATTCTGCAGCCAAAAATAAGGAGACTATCTGTTTCCGTACACAATGTATTTTATCCACAACATCACCACCAACTACGGCAACAACAACCGTGCTTGACGAGAAGCTGAGATTATCTTCTTTAGAGACTCATTCAAATTCCTTTGCTGCAAACAGACCATGGACGTATATAGGGGCAGTTGGTCCACCCACAGAGGTAAGACTTTAATCCTAACCGAAGACTTTAATTTTTTTTTTTTTTTTTTTTTTTTTTAAGGAAATAAGAAAGCAACAGTAGGCTTTTAAATGTCATATTTGTTTTATTTATTATTTTCATTTTCGAAAGATGGACTAACTATGTTTATGCATATGATGATTATCTATTCTTAAGATATAAGCATGCAAATTTTTTTATCTCCCAAGTGATAATCGACTTTCTAACATGCTCTTTTGATTTTGTTGTCAACAAATAAAAACTGTTTATAACGTCATAGGCAAGCTGCTAGGTTAAAAATCTATTGGTTCTAGGTGGGCTTCTTTTTTGAGTTTATCCTGTAATCTAAGTAGAAAGCCTTGTCTCCATGTGAAAAACCCCTTTGATTTGAAAAGGCATTGGGGGCATTCAATGTGTGTTATAATTTGGTTCAGTTGAAGTATACATAAATTTAAAGTTATATATCTGCAGGCAAATTTTGGAGCGACTTTAGCTACGGAAACTCTTATTACTAGTGATGAGGCTGTAATTGCTGCAGCAGCAGCTGAAGCAGTTGCTCTTGCCCGGGCGGCTGTTAAGGTTGCAAAGGATGCAGCCTTGATGGTTAGTTATTACAATTCTGCAAGACCAAATGCTAAACCTTCAATCCCATCAAAATCTGATACTTCACCTTCCAAGTGGGCACAGCTTACAGAAAGAGAACGAGCTAGCATAATAGGGGATTCTGTGGCAGATAAAACTGGATCAGAAGAGGAATATTCAATGCAACCATTAAAAGAATCTGATGATATGGAGCCATCCAATGAGGAGCTCAAGCTTCTGGAAGAACAGCTTTCCCAGAGTATAGCTGTGAGATCAATGCGCCAGACTGAAAGAAAGGCCAAAAGGACAAGGTCAGCAGAGAAGGCTGCTTCCAACATAGTGTCTGTGAGGTCAGGTACTACTAGCCGGAAAAAGCGTGCTTCTTTACAAGAAGTAGACTACTCTGATCCATTGCGTTATTTAAGAGCAACTACCAGCAGTTCCAAGCTTCTCACTGCTAATGAAGAATTGGAGCTATCTGAAGGAATACAGGTGTGACATACACATTAATCACACTGATGTTTCTGAATAAATAAGTCCTCTGGAACTATATATTATTTTTCCTAGATTGTGTAAATTAGCCTTATCTAATAACTATTGATCTGGGTCCTACTACCTGGATAAAGTAAAGAAAATATGGACAAGAACTTTGGATTTGTATGGACAGGCCAGGAAAGATGTTGCATTCATAAAACTAGGTGTGTGGTATTGGGTGGCTTGAAACCCAGTTCGTAATATTTGACTTGACCGGTTCACATGTTCTTGTGATTCGCTGCCCTTGAGTCATAACGTATCATGTAATATTCCAGTGCATAAGGTTTCCTGTATAGAAAAGTTATTTGTAACTTAGCTTGTAGTTCCTGCGTGACTTCCTCTGGGTCAGCATATAGTAACTTGTAAATCCGAAAATAGTTCTATGCCCTGTGGCTAGATAATGTCAGTGATTCTGTAAAAGTTGAGGCATACTGGGAAACTCACTTTTTGGAGTTTTCCCTGATCATTTTATAAGATAAGAGAAACAGCAAAGAATGTGATTGTTTTGGGATCTTTAAAGTGAGTTCTGTAGGCATATTTGTGTTTCTGTTCAATCTCAACGGATTTTTGACGTATCTGCTATAACTAACGTAACTCAGGACTTACTAAAACTGGAAAGGCTCCATGAGGTGCTTATAGAGCGATGTGGTGGTGAGCCAACCTTTGCACAGTGGGCTGCAGCAGCAGGAGTCGATCGGAAAGAACTGAGGAGGCGCTTGAATTATGGTACTTTTTGCAAAGACAAAATGATAAAAAGCAACATACGGCTTGTTATTTCAATTGCGAAGAATTATCAGGGAGCTGGGATGAATCTCCAAGATCTGGTTCAGGTTATACTTTGTTCTTTATCAGCCAATTAAATTTAGTTTGGTGATAAGCAAGTAAAAAAAGTTTTAAGGATTGAAGGTATAAGAATTTGTCTTATTTTTTGGTTCTTGATGTTCATCATATCTGAATCTTGCTCGTCAATTCACAGGAAGGATGTCGGGGCCTTGTGAGAGGTTCAGAGAAGTTTGATGCTTCAAAGGGTTTCAAGTTCTCTACTTATGCTCATTGGTGGATTAAACAGGCAGTTCGCAAGTCTCTTTCAGACCAATCCAGGACAATTCGTTTACCAGTAAGTTCCATTTCAATGTTCAATTATTTCTTCTTCAACTGATATTGCTTTCCAGAGAGTAGTATAGTGTTGGACGGGGGGTTACTCTACTGCTAATGCATCATACATTATACCTTCTCACCTGCATTATGTTTTTGATTTACAGTTTCACATGGTGGAGGCAAGTTATAGAGTGAAGGAAGCTAGAAAACAGTTGTATAGTGAAAATGGAAGACAGCCTGATAATGAAGAAGTTGCTGAGGCAACAGGGCTCTCAATGAAGAGGCTCAATGCTGTATTACTCACTCCTAAAGCCCCAAGATCTCTCGATCAAAAGTTTGGAATCAACCAGAATCTCAAACCTTCGGTCTGTTTAATTTATGTTCAGATACACAATTTCTGTCCTAACTGTAATACACTTAGCAGTTTGCTGACGGTTTTATGTCCTTTTACTAGGAAGTAATTGCAGATCCAGAGGCAGAAACAGCAGAAGATCTGCTAATAAAGAAATTTATGAAAGACGACCTAGAGAAGGTGTTGGACTCTCTAAATCCTAGGGAAAAGCAGGTCGTGAGATGGAGGTTTGGGCTGGATGATGGAAGGATGAAAACGTTGCAAGAAATTGGGGAGTTGATGGGTGTAAGCAGAGAGCGAATTCGGCAAATCGAGTCGTGTGCATTCAGAAAGCTGAAGAACAAGAAGAGAACGAAACATTTGCAGCAGTATTTGATTTCTTATAGTTAATAGGATTCAGGGATTAGTTAAGAGTTATGTAAGGTTACTTGAAGGTGAAGAAGGTTCATTCCTTGTTTTTTGCTTTATCTAGCAACAGAAATGTAACTTTGCTCCATATACTAGAATGGATGTGAATAGAAAACAATTTTTTTTTTCCTCAGTTCTTGATGTATCAAAGCCAAACTACTTGAAAACACAAGATTCAACTACCTCACTAATTTGGTGTTTAATTTACGTTTTAGCTCCAACCATTCTTGAATCCGTTTACCATTATCAAGATTTTGATATTTCAAAGGAAGCATTAGTAGGAGCAAAAAGATATGTTGAGTATGGTAATTTCTCGGCTTTCCATGCATCCGCACCCGCCACCAACCACTTCAACCTCTGCCCACTTTTTTTTTTGGGTTGCCTGCCTACTATTCTTTTTTCCCTTTTTTTTTTTTTTTTGGTTGTTTTTTATTATAGGTGTATGGTTTTGAGGAGATGAAAGGAGGTGATCAAAAACCCATTTCTTTAGAATTTTTAAAAGTCCTTCATAACAATTCTAGCTGGAGAAACATAGCAACAAAAATGGGGCTCTGATTAATATTTTCAAGAATGAAAGAAGGAAAGGTCTACACAAAATAATAATATCAAAAGCTTTATCATTGGGCCAAAAACTTAAGTTGTTAACTATGATGCTTTATTTATATATTCCATCAATGATAGCGTAAAACCTACAGCTTTGCAATGCACGTTTAAGCATATCGATGGTTTAGACGATTAAGCACCAATGCCTAATAGACGAACCGTAGTTATTTTTTTCACGTGTCAATAAAGCCAATAGTAGCAGATGCATTGCAAGAGTAGAAAACACATTAGACGAAAACCGACTTGTAACTAGAATCTACACATGATATTCGTCTACAATGCTTTAGATGATTAGGTAGAGATTGAAAGAGGACTAGAAATAAAATTCAGGATGCCTGCCTTTCTGAAACCTTTCCATGATAATAGAGTTATTATTTGGGATTTGTTTTTTGAGATGCTAAAAATTTGAGTTCAATGGGACTATGCAAGCTACTGCTACCTAAAGGTATCCCTCAAGCAATAGTTTGGAGGAAAGGATGGAATATCTAGGAGGGTGGATTGCCTTTTCAAATATGGAAGATAATAAGAGACTGGTTTGGAGGGAGTTCATAAAGATACTACTGAGTTTGCAAACTTAAACAAAGCAAGGATTCAAGTTAGATTCTAAATAACAGTTTGTCCTAGGGAATCGTTGAACAGTGGTAACACAAAGGTTTCTTGCACCTTAGATGATGAAGTTGAGAAAGATAAAATACGTGATAATTTAATAGAGAAGGGAGATTGCAAATTCAAAGCATAAAAGGGTATTTTTATCAAGGCAAGGAGAGGAAAATTTTGGAAAAGAGATTCAACAATAGCAGAAGCATTAAATCTTCTCAGTGGCTTGTTTTTTTTTCGAATTAACACTATTTTTCCCACCCTAGTACGGGTCAAGACTTGGTTCAAACTTTTTGCAGTCAACCAATCATTTACAAGTTGAAACTAATAGGCTTGGTACCGATTTCTTTAAAGATAAGAGCCAAGAACCTAACAAAATTAAGCCTTTTAAAATGAAAGAGCCCAAATCATTCAACCAATCAAAACCTATCAAAAAGTTCACCTTTTAATAATTGAGGTATTCAAGTCAACTTATATGTACATTGACTAATCATTAGATAAAGCTATTCTACAATAACCCATCGTCATGACCCCTCAGATAAATCATGAATAAAAGTATTATCTTTGTGCCTAATAGGGAATGAAAAACTATGCATAAGTCAAATAGTTTACATTGTTCAAGAAAACCACCGAAAAGGCAATTAATCACTCAAAAAAGGGAAAGGGTAAAGAAATGGTTAATTGTTGGGAAAAAAAAAAGGGGCAAAAGTGGATTCAGAGTCAACGATAGTTACTAAAATATAAGACTGTGATGACATTAACGCTAATGAAAAATAAATTGAAGCATATCTAATTATATTTGAGGAAAAAGAAGTAGTGTATCTAGAAGCCTTTTGCAGAAGATCACGTTCATTAAAAGGATGTTAACATAAGGGAAAAGACAACGATTCTTCTATATAATCAAAGGAGATGTAAGATTTTTTATGCCTCAAAAGTCAAACCTATGTCAGCACAATTAATATCTCTTTATACTAGCTATCAAGCCCGTATCTCCAAAGATATTCTCACCAACTTTATCTCATTTCAAAGAGATGAATGGACGAGAGTCTTCCATGTATCAAGGCAGCTTGCAAAACACTCATTGCATTGAGTGCAAGTGTGAATAAATGGGCATTTCTCTTCCCGAAGAAGGGAGGCTGGAGGCTGAGCTGAGATTTGATTTTCAATTCTTTCTCTCTGTAAAAACACTGTATTTCTTCATCTTTGTATGCCTTACGGGCAAAATCATAGAAATAGTGAGAGATCAATAAAATAACAGTGGATGTAGAAGTCGCTTGTTGCATCCGAACCACTATAAAAACCCCTCTTGCCAATCTTTTACTTATTTTTCTGCAAAATATATAATCTAAGCTCCATATTCAAATCTCATGGATCCATCGCGTGTGATTTCTAAGTCCACTTAGCGCTTCTCACATGCGAGTCGTTGGCGTCCAAAATCAAGCGTCAACAGTTTGGTGGCCCATGCAAGTCCGATTCTCAAACCTGCGTCAAAGTTCCTTGATGGCGTGCTAAGATCTCAAACCTGCGTCAGAGTTCTCCGATCTCGTGGCCAGATCGTAGATTGCATGCGTTAGAATTCTTCGATCGCGCATCAGAATTCTCCAATCGCATGGCCAGATCTTAGATCGCACGCATAAGAGTTCTCTGATCGCGTGGCCAGATCGCAGATCTCACGCATCAGAGTTCTCTGATCGCGTGGCCAGATCGCAGATCGCACGCCCATGCCATCCTGATCCTCAGCTTCAGATTGCGAATCTTTAGCCTCAAATCGCGTGCTCAGATCGCTGATCTCTGTGCTCTTAGGTAGAGCTCGTTATGATCTCTCAGGTCGTGCTTGTTACGTGCTCAGGTCGAGTCCAGGTCGTGCTCATTACGTGCTCGTTATGTGCCTAGGTCGTGCTTGTTACGTGCTCAGGTCAAGCCTAGATTGTGCTCGTTACATGTTCAGGTCGAGCACAGGTCGTGCTCGTAAAGTGCGTAGGTCGAGCCCAGATTATGCTCGTTACGTGTGCAGGTCGAGCCCAGGTCGTGCTCGTTACGTGTTCAAGTTGAGCTCAAGTCGTGCTCGTTATGTGTTCAGGTCGAGTACAAGTCGTGCTCGTTATGTGCCCAGATCGAGCTCAAGTCGTGCTCGTTATGTGCCCAGATCGAGCTCAAGTCGTGCTCGTTATGTGTTCAGATCGAGCACAAGTCGTGCTCGTTATGTGCCCAAGTCGTGCTCGCTATGTGCTCAAGTCGAGCCTAGGTCATGCTTGTTATTTGTTCAAGTCGAGCTAGTTTTGCTCATTGAGGTCGTTTTGACCTCTCAGGTTGAGGTCGTTTTGACATCTTAGATTGAGGTGGTTTTGACCTTTCCAGGTCGAGGTCGTTTTGACCTCTCAAGTTGAGCTCGTTTTGTTGATTGAGGTCGTTTTGACCTCTCAAGTTGAGGTCGTTTTGCGGATTTAGCTCGTTTTGGCCTCAGGTTGAGGTCGTTTTTCTCATTGAGCTCGTTTTGACCTCTCAGGTCGAGGTCATTTTGTTCCCAAGTTGAGCTTCAAATCGTGTGACTAGATCGCAGATCACACGCCCATGCCATCCTGATCCTCAGCTTCGGATTGTGGATCTTTAGCTTCAAATCGCGTGTTCAGATCGCTGATCTATGTGCTCTTAGGTAGAGCTCGTTATGATCTCTCAGGTCGTGCTTGTTACGTACTCAGGTTGAGTCCAGGTCGTGCTCTTTACGTGCTCAGATCGAGTTCAGGTCGTGCTCGTTACGTGTTCAGGTTGAACACAGGCCGTGCTCGTTATGTGCCCAGGTCGTGCCTAGGTCGTGCTTGTTACGTGCTCAGGTCAAATCCAGATTGTGCTCGTTACGTGTTCAGGTCGAGCATAAGTCGTGCTCGTTATGTGCACAGGTCGTGCTCGTTACGTGCACAGGTCGAGCTCGTTACGTGCACAGGTCGAGCACAGGTTGTGCTCGTTACGTGTTCAGGTCGAGCACAAGTCGTGTTTGTTATGTGCCCAGGTCGAGCTCAAGTCGTGCTCGTTATGTGTTCAGGTCGAGCACAGGTCGTGCTCGTTATGTGCCCAAGTCTTGCTCGTTATGTGCTCAAGTCGAGCCTAGGTCATGCTCGTTGTTTGTTCAAGTCGAGCTAGTTTTGCTCATTGAGGTCGTTTTGACCTCTCAGGTTGAGGTCGTTTTGACCTCTCAAGTTGAGGTCGTTTTGCTGATTGAGCTCGTTTTGACCTCAGGTTGAGGTCGTTTTTCTCATTGAGCTCGTTTTGACCTCTCAGGTCGAGGTCATTTTGCTCCCAAGTTGAGCTCGTTATGACATTTCGGGTTGTGCTACTAGATTTCTGGTCGTTTTCCTAAAAGATTTCTGGTCGTTTTCCTAAAAGATTTCTGGTCGTTTTCCTACCAGTTTTTTGGTCATTTTTCTTAACATATTTCTAGCCGCTCCTAACAGATTTCTGATCGTTTTTCTAGCAGATTTCTGGTCGCTCCTAACAGATTTCTGGTCGTTTTCCTAACAGATTTAAGGACGAGCTCTTAACAGATTTCTGGTCGCTCCTAACAGATTTCTGGTCGTTTTCCTAACAGATTTAAGGACGAGCTCTTAACAGATTTCTGGTCGCTCCTAACAGATTTCTGGTCGTTTTCCTAACAGATTTAAGGACGAGCTCTTAACAGATTTCTGGTCGCTCCTAACAGATTTCTGGTCGCTGCTAACAGATTTCTGGTCGTTTTCCTAACAGATTTCTGGTCGCTCCTAACAGATTTCTGGTCGTTTTCCTAACAGATTTCTGGTCGCTCCTAACATATTTCAGGTTGTTTTCCTAACAGATTTCTGATTGTCTTCCTAACAGATTTCAGTTCGAGCTCTTTAGTTCGAGACTGCAGCAATTCAGATCAAAGACTTAGTTTCTGAAGCGCGATTACGCACTTAAAAAACTGGGGGGCTTCTGTTATGCCTCAAAAGTCAAGCCTATGTTAGCACAATTAATGTCTCTTTGTGCCAGCTGCCAAGCCCGTATCTCCAAAGATATTCTCACTAACTTTATCTCATTTCAAAGAGATGAATGGACGAGAGTCTTCCATGTGTCAAGGTAGCTTGCAAAACACTCATTGTATTGAGTGCAAATGTGAATAAATGGGCATTTCTCTTCCCGAAGAAGGGAGGCTGGAGGCTGAGCTGAGATTTGAGTTTCAATTCTTTCTCTCTGTAAAAACGCTGTATTTCTTCATCTTTGTATGCCTTACGGGCAAAATCATAAAAATAGTGAGAGATCAATAAAATAACAGTGGATGTAGGAGTCGCTTGTTGCATCCGAACCACTATAAAAACCCCTCTTGCCAATCTTTTACTTATTTTTCTGCAAAATATATAATCTCAGCTCCATATTCAAATCTCATGGATCCATCGCATGTGATTCCTAAGTCCGCTTAGCGCTTCTCACGTGCAAGTCGTTGGCGTCCAAAATCAAGCGTCAACATTTTCATTAGTTGAGGAGGAAATATTTATATTTAAAAGGGATCAGGGGAAAAATTAGATAAATTTCATGAGGGCATGAATCTTTCTTTTGTGTCTCTATTAAGTAATGGACTTAGTAAGAAGGATAAGGGTAAAGACTTTGATTAATGAAGATCATTGTTTAGAATATAAAGGGGTTAGGAGACAAAAGAAAACGCAAACATGATCAGGGAGTCTTTGACCAAATTAGATGCTAGTGTCATTATCTTGTAGGAAACAAAGAGGGAATTTTTGTGATTCAGAGGAGTAGATACATTGATTTGGTTGATTTTATATAATACTATACGTACAACATTTTTATACTTCTAAATTGGTTTTCCTTACCTTTAAATGATATGAGGGAGGATCAAATGCATGTCCAACTTTGAGAGAATATATGAAGAACGCCAGGATGAAGAGTTACAACAACTCAAAAGGATATGAATGGAAGGCAAAAATCTCCCCCAAAGTATTTTTTTGCTTGGACTTTGGATCATTGGAAACGAGCAAAGGTGATATTGTTTAAGAAAAATATCCAATAAATTTCAGTGCATAACTTGGAGAGTGTTACACATATGGTAAAGTAAAGAAGGTGTAGAATTTGTGGAAATGTGCAATTCTAGCTCTTTTGTGGGTGATAGCGTGAAGGAAATAACTAAATCTTTGAAGGGGAGTAAAGGAGAAGAGGCTAAGGTTTTGTGGAGGGAAAATCTGTAATTTTATGGCTATTTGGGCGTTTAAACTAGAGATTTAAAAATTCGTTTTTTTTTTTTTTTTTTTTTTGTTTTTCCCATCTATTTATCATAACTGGATAAGGGTTATGAGTTGATGTGTTTTGATTTATGTAGGTTTTTGGGCTGATGTAATCTCTCTTTTTGGTGTTTATATTACACAATTTACACTTGTGCTACTTTTGTATATGTCTTTTACAATATCATAATGTTCTCTCTCTTTCTCTCTCTCTTCTATATATATAAAACATGAAAAATGATATAGTTATCGAAAAAAATACACTAAATTCACGAACCAATAGACATGACACTAATCGTTCATTAATTATAATTTTTTTTTAAGAAAAGAAGATAGTGTCACGTATGTCGGTGCTTTTTTTATTTTTATTTTTTTGTAACTGTAACATTGCTCATAAAACATATTATTGAGTTGTAATTGCACTCATATTTCATAAAATGGTTTTACTACTATTTAGGGGTTTTGAAAGACAATTTTATTTCCAATTTTAACTTTTCAAAATCTTTTCTTTGATGGCATTATATTATTGGGTTAGCTATACCAACTTACATTTTTTTTTATCTAAATTTAGATATGTGATTTGTTTGTTTTTTATATTTTATATATATATATATATATATATAATTGTGAAGTTACATTCTATAATTATGTCATTTAATTTTAGGAAGAGTTAACGACTTTTTCCCACCTAAATAATGGTTTAATGACATTTTACCACCCACAGACTTTTAAAATACCATTTTACTACCAAAAGTCAGAACAGAACAAACTCGGTCCACGCTGTTAGGACTTTTGAAGAAGGAGGCCAATGAATATTTTGGTGTTGAAAGGTTGGATTTTAGTGGTTAGGATTGATCAAAATTTGACTTGGAAAAGACGGTTGCGCAAACCCTAATGGCTCAATTGGCGGGATCAACTGGTGTAGAGTTTGAGGGATTTTGGTGAGTGATGATTGAAAAAGAGAATGGTAACCGAATATAAATTTGGGTAGTAAAGCGGTATTTTAAAAATTTGTGGGTTGGAAGGTAATTAAACCATTATTTAGGTGGAAAAAAGTCATTTACTCTTTTAGGAATGATCAATTGTTATACTAATTACCATGTAAAGAAGATAAAAAAGATTATATTAAAGATAAATTAAATACAAATGTTAATTAAAACTAAAACTTGACCACTAGTTGTCGTCGAACAACCTACTGTTGGCAACTGGTTGCCGATGTATAAGAGTTTTCACTTTTCAAGGACATTGATGATATCAACGTGAAACTCTCACAACGAACTACCCAGGGGCGGATGCTACTCTAGTTGAGGGTGGGTGATGATTTAAAAAAAAATATTAACATATATAATTTCTGGATTTTGGACCACCCTAACAGAAATATTAATATGCACTTAGTTTTTATTTTGGCTCACTTTAACAGAAATTTTTTGATTCATCTTGGATCTACCTATAATGGTATATTAGACAAAAGAGAGATATTTAGGGTGTAAGATGAAGAGAAAGTAATGGTAATCCTTGGTGTCTCATCCTCCTACACCCAAAAGACACAATTTTTTTTCCAGTCAAAATTGCTTGGATGTATAGATTGGTTAATGAGCTTTGTTTTGGCAAAAAGTGCCCTGGGTGGTCAGTCGACAGCGACTGCCAACCGATCATCGGAGACTATGGTTAAGGTGAGAGAGAACTTCGAGTTGACGAGGTTACTCATTAAATTAGTTTAAAACGGAAAAAAAAAAAAAAATTATATGCAAGAGGGTATTTGTTATATTTTTCCAATAATCACTTAAATTTTGTTTTGAAATAAGAAACAAACAAAAAAATAAAAAGAGACTTGCCCAAATGGGATTCCAACAACATCACTAAAAAAAATTAATTTAACGAATTTCATTAAATATATATAAATTAAAAACAAAATTTAATGCATTGAAAGAACAAAAACCAAAAAATCAAACACCACTACCCTGATTTGGAGGGAAACATTGGCGGGCCTCACAATCCAACCTCTTTGCCCAAATGAATTCTCAACATTTCATAAATACTTATAATTAATAATGTAATTATTCTAAAATTCCCAATAAAACATGACTTATACATACATAACTTTGCGATTAATGTTTTTATTTAGAAAATAAAATTAAGTAATTGAAAAATCAATTAAATAAAGAAAAAGGACAATGAAGAGACAAAACGGAACGTATCAATACGCTGACTTGAGAGTGAGCAAGTGAAATAAAGCAAATTTAAAGCATTAATTCAGAAATTCAAGTGTCAGAGTTTGATTTTGAACAAGCATAATGAAAGTGAAGGGAGGAGGGAAGAGGAAGGTGGTAGCCGGAGGAGGAGGGAATCTGGGTCTAAACGACGCCGTTGATGTTTTCGTTGTTGAAGAGAATCACATTGATGTAAATGAGGTGAAACAACAAGATGGTGAAGAAATAGAAGAGGAGAACGAGGAGGAAGAGGAGGAAGAAGAAGACGAAGAAGATGAAGATGAAGAAGTGGCACGTGACGAGGAGCCTCAAGAAGACCGCCCCAAGCTCGATGAGGGCTTCTTTGAAATAGAAGCCATTCGTCGTCGAAGAATTCGCAAGGTCTTAAATTCTAATTAATTCAAGCTTTTTTTTTTAATTACTTTCATTTTCTGATCATGAGTTTACTTTATTTCTGTGTTGAATAGGGTCAGCTTCAGTATCTTATCAAATGGTGAGTGTTGTAATTGAGTGTACTGTTAATTTTTGCAATGTCAATTCAAGCTCTTAATGTTTTAGGGATTTGATTTGTTGAAGGCGTGGTTGGCCGGAAACTGCCAATACTTGGGAGCCATTGGAGAATCTGCAGTCATGTTCAGATGTTATCGATGCATTTGAAGAGAGGTGAGGTTCCCTTTCTTTTCTTTTTTGCCCTAGCTCTGGTTTAGTTCACAAATGATTAACAAGTTCCTAAATGATTTCAGTCTTAAACTACTGTTTTCGTTGGGTAAATTCAGTGTCTTTGTCTTCTTTTAAAGTAAATGGCAGAGGATATATATGAAACTTTTAAAATCTACTAATGTTTCTTTCTTGAGTTATTTCGCCAACCAAAGGGGAGGATAAAGTTCATTGTTATATTTCTTTGAGTTTATCAGCAACCTAACATAGATTAGAGGTTCAGTAAGTTAATAGACTTTACTTTACGAGTATGCATGGTTTTTTCACATTTTCCCTTTCTCTTTTTATTTTGAAGCTTGCGGTCGGGAGGCAAATCTTCTAGGAAGCGCAAACGCAAATATGGTGGTCCTCATACTCTTACAAAGAAGAAACAGCCACGCTCTAGTAATGCTGCATATAATGTTGGTGTTGCTGGTCTATCTCTAGCCACTCCTCCTCTCAGTAACACAAACCTTATTGATTTCCCAGTCTCCAATCAATCCATAGGATCAGGTCATGAAGGACAAAAAAATGGAGACCTCAGCATTGTCAAAACACGTAGGCAAACTAGTGAGAATAGATTTGCAAATGGTTCTAAACAAGTTGATATGAGGAAAGAGGAAACCGAGTATGATCCAAAGCTTAGTGAGCTGAAAGGAACAATGTTTAGTAACGAGGCCAATGTGGATAAGCTTGCAGTAAATTTACAAGATGCCAAAGTTTTAGAAGGCAGTGGTCTTACTCATGGGGTCTCCAAGGTTGATCGAGTGGAATCAGTTCCAAATGATCGACGTACAGGAGCTAAGAGAAGGAAGTGTGGTTCTGTGAAGAGGTTTAGACAAGATTTAGCCTCTTCTAAACCGGTAGCTGCACAAGATTCAGCACCAAGCATTGCTGCTGGCTGTGGTGGTACAGGTGAGCAACCTGGGATTGGAAATTCAAGTCACAAGAACAAGATTGATGGTTCCAGAAATGCATCTGCACTTGTTAAAATCATCAGGCCAATGGATTTCTCAGCTTCTGTATCAGATAATGTCCAGGATGTGTTAGTGACCTTTATGGCATTGAGGTTTGTCATTAGATTTCCAACTCTTGGTGTGCTTAATAGACCTTTCTTAGCTTCCGTTTTTTGAGCTAAAGATATTGATCTAAAACTAATCAGAACTCTTGTCTGTATACAAATAACTTATCTTAGTATTGGGGAAAAAACAATATTCTATAAAAAGTTTTGCTGTAAAGGTTACAACTCCTAAAAGAAAAAGGAAATAATAGCATACCAATAAAGAACCATACTGTCTCAATCTCCAAGATGTGTTCCAAAAGATTTAGGGACCTGCAACTAGGTTACATTTCGTCTGAACTCTGCATCTTGAATGATAAGTTCTAAATTGTTCTGTCATTGAGTTTATTTTTCTCATCTATCTTATGCACACTCGTTCAGATGGCTTTGGTATACTCTTGTTGAGTCACTAGTTGACTACAATTATTATCTTGGAGTTTTTGCTTTCTAGTTTGATCAGCTCTATTTTTTCTGATGGTTCAACCTAGTATTTACAAATATCATTAATATTAAAAGTAAACTGTTGGATGCGCTATCTGTTCACATGTCATTTTTCTCTTTTGCCCTCATCTATCTAAGGGTAAACTGTTTGGATAAAATTCATTTCTGGTTGTTAATTAAATGCCATCTAATTTGGTGGTGTTATCTGTAGGATTGTTTCAAGTTCTATTCGCTTAATTTTCTCAATGCAACATTCTCTAATATGAATTGATCCCAAAACATGTGCTATCTGCAGTTATGGTGTTGGCTGCTTGGTTTCAGTCAGTCTGTGTGCTATTGAGCTTCTTTTTCATCTTCTATCTACTAGTAACCTAATGCTGATGGCCTGTTAAACAATTTGGTTTAGTTATTAAGCACTTATTATCTCACGTTTAGATTAGTTTTTTAGCTTTTCTTCAGGTTCCATCTGCTCAGATTTTCCTAAACATTCAAATCCTTGAACATCAATTGATTGAAATACATTTTCTGCAGTAATGTGAATGTTTGGTTCAATCATTGCATCTGTTATTGAGCTTCTTTTTCAGGGATTTATCTGTCTTAACTTGGATTTTGGGATAGTATTTAGGCTGTATGTGCTCAATTTTTTCAAGTAATTCAAAACACAACACACTCAAATATCACTAGACTTGTCCCACAGGTTGCTAATGATGTACATCTTCATATGCTTGTTCAATTTTCTTTCAGAAGTTGTTGCTTCATAGTTGCTCCTCTATTAGAAAATTGAGCAAACATCAAATTGTTTGGAAACGTCGAAGGTTTTTCATTTAAAGAATTGCACTGAACAAAAGCAGTTTCTGTACTCCAATTTATTTATGCCCTTGGTTTGCATTCCTATATTAGTGGCTGATAGAGATATTACCAAGATACATTTGGCGAAAGGGGATGGATGATTCGTTTGAAGAGTGTCTAGTTGATTGGTTATGGGGAATTGGTGTTTGGAGAAGGATAGTTTTGGAGGAGACTTATAGTAGTTAATTATGGGTAACTGAGATGTGGATTGATAAATCATTGTGTTTTGGTAAGTGGAAGGATTTTAGGAGTGGATGGGAAAATTTATAGTCATATTGCACTTAAAAGATAGAAGAAATGTGTGTAATTTGGGGATGAACCAGTGAAGTTTTCTGCTTTGTTTTCTATGCCAGAGGTAAAGTGGCTACTGTTGCTACCTATATGGAGTTGATGTGTTGCATATTTAAGGTATACAGGGTTGGCAAGAATATTTGGAGCTTTTTTTAATTTTCTTTATAACCAGAAGTTGGGTTATGAAGTGAAATTATTATGTTTTTTTGGCTAAGATGAGAACATGTTATGTTTTAATTGATAAGAATTCCAAATCATGGTCTTCTTTTTCTCCTTTTTTTTTTTTTTTTTGGTGGGCTGTTTCTGTCCTGCATTTAACATTCCAAAAAGGGAAACATTTACTAGCTGCTGTTATATGTGGAAAAATAATGAGAGAGAATGGAAAATTCTTATTTTCACATTGTTCAATTGGAGGCTTAGCTGATGCTTTTTTCATTATAAAAATTCTATAAGATAATTTCCAGGATAGCCAAGATGTTAATAAGTTGGAGAAGGTGATTAGGTTCTATTGAATTTTTAATCTATTATCAATTTTCATTGATTTTATTTCCTTTGTTTTTGATTTCTGGAGTTTACAATGTTTGCCTTGCAAATGAATCGTGTAACTTTTGCAAATAAAACTATTACATGAGAGAGAGAAAAAAACTCAAAAAATGATAATTAGAAAAAAGGAAAATGTAAACAAGCATAGCACTAGATTGGCAATCATATATAAGTTCGCTTAACTTTATGACTGCATGTATTGCCTCGCTCTTCAAGAATTTTAATTATTGTATTTCTTTATTCATCTCATTTGGGAGAGTTATAAAATCTTAACTTGTTTTTACATGTTAAGTTCTTTTAAAATGAGAAAGTCTTCAGTAGAATGGCATACAACGTAATTTGTATGTCTTTTCGATAAAATCTCATTATCTATACATATATTTAGATAGTAACTATTCACAGTAGGGGTTAGGTGATGGAAAAATAAAATAAATGCATATATGGTGAGATATTATTTGACAAGTCTTCAAATGACTCCTTTTTTATTTCAATTTTTCATTTAGTTGTGTTAACCAAAAAAAAAAGCCTCTTTGTGACTGCATGCATTAATATCGGAGTTTCCATGTATTTTTCCCTCCTATATTAAAGATATGCGATTATTTAGGGTTTCATATTAGTTTAAATCTTTTGCGGTTAATAGTTACTTAATGTGAACGATGGATTAACTTGTGTCGGTGAAGATTTTTTGTTAGAAATTTGAAAGATATTTGGTCCTTGTTGTAGTTATGTGGACCACCGTACTGTAACTTCACGAGATCTTTCGCATAATAACACCAAATATCATTTTGGCTTCATAAACTTTACAAGCTCTAGTTTTGCCATAGCAAGTGGGCTTGTTAAAAGTCTCATTTTGGAGAATCAGATTTACTGTTTATTTTCCCCATCTAATAAATTCATCAATCATTGTTGTTATGAAACTCAAAAGTTGTGGGCATAATGTTATTGACTATTAAAGACTGGTTTGTTTGTTGCAAGTATTGATGTCATGCTTATCCAGTTTCGTCTTGATGAATGATATAATTCTTACGTGGTTGCCTTGTTAATAGGTCTGATGGTAAAGAAGTGATGGTGGATAACAAGTTTCTCAAGGCTAATGATCCTCTTCTGGTAATTTATCTTATTATTTATTGGGTTTCTTTCGCACTGATCAACTTCTTTTTTATACTTAATTTTTCTCCTTAATTGCCAGTTGATCAACTTCTACGAGCAACATCTCAAGTACAGTCCACAATGATTTGATGGGAGTTTTAGAAGGAGTTTGTGAGTGTAGCAATATTTGCTTCAAGCTAGATTTTGTTGTATACAGATGTTATTAGTTCTCTAGTTGCAAGAGATGCCCTAAGATGAAAAATACCCTTTTGCTCCGGCAAATGACAGAAAGCTGAGTGGTAATATTGTAGTACCATTTCTACCTCTATTTGCCTTTTGTCTAATTAGGTGTCAGATTTATCTACCAACTGCATGAGTATTTAACTTGGAGATGTTTAGAGATTCATTAACTCTAGAAGTATACATAGTGTATGAACGATCATTTGTAATGAAACTTATCTTCATCGGATATCTCTCCTCAAGTAATGACCAAGTATTATCTTCTTTATTGCATTGCTTTGATCATCATTGAAATAGTAATGGGTGTACATTACTTTTATAATTATGACTTCGGCTTCATTATGATTCTGTTTTAGCAAATGTGATTGCTCTCTATTCACTTCACCATTTTCTACAAATTTCTAGACTTGAGCCATGAAGCCCTGATATATTGAATTGCTTTTCTGTTTTTGAGAATTTTATGTGGCTGATTCTGCAGAAGTAACTGTTGGCAGATTTGGACATAATTCATGCTCTTTATCTTGATATCATCTCTCACTAATAATATTAAATATATCATTGTTATTCTCATATATAAAATTGTCAAGATTCTTCTAAGTATTGAAGACAAATAGATGATTTTCAATAGTGATAAATTCTCAACTAAACAAATATTGTTAAGTTTTCATCCTGCATAGATAACTTCAAGACAACCTTGAGTTTATTTGTTATTGATTATCTTAATTAAAGTTGGTTGTGGTTGGCCTTCTTCAAGCCAACCTCTACACCATTAAAACAATTTTTGCTTAAAGAAGATAAATTTAGGTTAGCTAATGAATATATAACCAAAGAAAAGAGTCAGAATGCTTCTAAAAAGTCATCTCCATCTGCAACAAACATATTCTTTATCACTTTCACTCCTTTAAATATCCTCAAGGTCGTGGCTCATCCCCCAGGAAGGTGAGACAAAGAGCAATGAGGAACAGAGGGCCATCACCATTAGTACCCTCTTTAATGGTGGTAGTTTTGGGTTCTGTGATCTTTGGTCCTAGTCTGTTATCGATGATGGAGTTTTTTTCGCCGCTGTTTGAAGTTTGGGACTCAGAAGGCACCCTTGTGATTGTGCTGCTTCTGCTTTTAATGTTACTGCTCATACATTTTCTCTCTACATTTTTTCCTACTCTTCGCTTTCCGTCGCGTCGTGGGTTTCATCAGACCAGCAGTTCTGGTTTTGACACTGATGGGTTTGGGTTAGGGTCACTACTTCTAGTTGTGCTCTTCTTTGTTTTATACTTTGGCCTTAACAGTTAGCTTGTGTTATACATGCTTGCTTTTGTAAAATGTTTGTTGTAAAGAAAGGTTTGTGTATGTTGATAATAGTAATAGAAGGAAGATATGTCTAAAAAAGGAGCTTTGAATGTACTAGTAGAAATTTTTGCCCCAACCAAGTGATGTCTCTAGGCTCTTATGTAGTTGTCTTCTGATGAGAGAATGCCCAGTTTCTGGCTCTGGTTATATAGAAGTTGCTATGAGCTCCATTTTATTAATTTGCAAAGCAACAAACGTTTGATACAAACAAAGACGTTCAATAAATGACCAGCAAACTTCAACACAAACAGAAAACAAGCAAACCAAGTTACAAGGCTAAAACAAGCAAGGTTAGCCATGTGCCATGTCCAAGACTGATTACAGAAAATGCATGCCTGCATTTTGTTGAATTCACTATTTGAAAGTATTAAGACATCTTGAGGGATTCAGTCTTCTTCGGATGGTAAACAAAAACAGAATTAAGACACCATAGCTTCCTTCCCTTTAATTGCGAAACCAGAAACATCATCTTTTCAGGCTGAAGCTGAAGATTCGGCTGCTTCATTCCCTTTTAACCCTGCAAACATTTTAAAGCTTTAGAATATAAACTACTGGATGGATCTTGAAGATGAAGTATCACAATTATGAAAGTTATATCTCTATTATACTAACCTCCACCACGAATGAATACGCGATACCATGCTTTATTTTTTTCTTTTGGCAAAGGTGGAGCTTTGATGAAATCAATCTCCAGGTCAGGAATGTGACTGATTTTTTCCCATTCTGGACCTTGTTCATCCTCGTTGCCACATTGTTTCGTCAGTAAAGGACAATTTTGAATGAGCAAATGTTGAAGAGAGTTGGGAAGTCCGTCTTCAGGAAATGACTGGAGGAGAGGGCAGTCCTCAATGTAAAGGTCCTTCAGTGAATGGAAACTCTTCAGCGTCCCAAATGTGCCAAGTGACAGCAAACTAGAGCATGAGCCGATCAATAAACACTCAAGTGCTGGTGGTAGCTCTTCATCTTGAAATTTTACAAGCTTTGAACACCCTTGTGTAGACAGCAGCTTCAGAGAGGTCAAGCTCCGCATTGATCCTTCTCCGGACAAAGCCACAAGATCTTTGCAATCTCTGATGTACAAAGCTTTGAGCCCGGGAAGATCAGGCCATCTTGGAAATGAAGTTATGTTTGAGATGGTGGAAATGACCAGAGAATACAGAGAACTGGTACTTGGTATGGCCTTCACTAATGTTTCATCATGACATGAACTCAAAGCTAAATGCTGAAGACGTCGGCTCATCTCTGGGATAACTAGGGTGCTGAATAACGGACACCCACTTATCTCCAGTTTCTGAGGAGCAAAGTTTGTCGGCAGGTCCTGGAGCTTGGGGCAACCGATGACTTTCATTTCGAGAAGACTAATAAAGGAAAGTCGTTGTTGCACTACTTGTTGCCTTCGATCATTTATGGAAATGAGTTGCAGCATAGCCTCGTTCCAATTTTCCAGGACAGGATTGTCAACAAGTATTAGAAACATCAGAAATGCTGTCACTGGAAGAGCCTTTAACGAGGAACACTTCTTGATTTTCATAACCCGAAGGTTTGGAATGAATTTGGGCAATTCCCTTAGCTTGGGACAGTTACTAATCTTCAGTCTACAGAGAGAATTGTAATCCCCATTTTCCCATTTCTCCAACTCCAGCATGCCTTTAATATAGAGTTCGTTAAGGTGGGGTAGCTCACCGAGGGAGGAGAGGATTCTGCAGTTACTGCAACCCTTTAAGGAGATACCCACTAAGTTTCGGAGCTGCCCATTTGTCATCCAATGTGGAAAGCTATTACCCAAGTAATTGAAAATTTGGAGCTCCTTCAAAGCGGAATGAGGTTTCTAGTAGCCTCTCCTCGTCTGATAAATCATGTGGATTGGCATCTCTGTTGCTCCATTCCAACACTAACTTATGAACACTCTCCTTCTCGTTCAGCTTTGCCTCCTCTGCATTCTCTGCATTTTCGAGCTTCGAAATGTGCAACGTCCCGGTAAGATATGCCTTTTCCTTCAATTCTTCAATCCTGTTTCCACTCTTGCAGCCAATCGGAAATGCATGCAAATTTTGCAGCCTGGTTAACTTCCCTATTCTTGGAGGCAATGTGGAAGACTTGAACCAGAACATATCATCTAGCTCAAGGTTTTGTAGGTTAACCAGGTTTCCAAGGTCCTTGGGCAATTGGGTTAACCAAAGACACCCCAAAAGTTTCAGTGTTTTCAAATTATAGAGGTTACATATCGAGTCGGGAAGTACCTTGATTTCAGTTCGGGAGAGGTCAAGGTAACGCAGCAACTTCAACTCTTCAATTGAGCTCGGCAATACCTGGATTGTGCTAGAACTCAAATGTAACAGCCGAAGATATTTGAGTTTGTGGAAAATAGTTTCAAGGGCCTGCCCAAAGTTCTTCAAGAACTCACTTGGCAATAGAAGTGTGCGCAGCTTCTGAGAATTATCAACAATACTCAAAGCAGGCTGCTCAACATCTTTGCAAAGAAGTGACACATGACGATATTCTTTTGATTGCTGAGAGCTACTGCAGGATTTGTAATCCTTAACTTGGCAACAGTGGCGCATTGAAACTGATTGTGCCAAGTCATGAATAAGATCGTGCATCCGGTATCTCACCTTGTTATCAATACTGGAACGTTGAAAAAAAGTCCTCACCAATAATTCATTGAAGTATTCGATTCCAGTCATGGCTTCTGTTTCTTGTGCTCTAGTTTGAACGTATGCTTCTGCAGTCCATTGTTTCACCAACTCCTCCTTCTCGAAATAATAGGCTTTTGGGAAAATGGAACAATATGCAAAACAATCTTTAAGATGAGAAGGAAGATGATCATAACTGAACTTGAGTGCAGGCATGAGCTTGTTATTTCCGAAACTCCCCTCTTCTATCTCCCATATGTTACTGCTCAAGATTTTCTTCCATTTGTTTACGTCATCATCGCCGCGCAAAAGACCAGCCATTGCTCTTATTGCCAGAGGTAATCCCTTGCATTTACCCACAATATCCCTCCCAATTTCTTCTAGCTTTGGCAGATCTGGGCATGACAAATTGCTATGATTTAATGCAATTTTTTTGAACAATGACCAACATTCATCTTCAGGTAAATATTCCAGAAGATAAGGTGATTGTGTGCCAATCTTCTTTGAAACGTTTTCGTGTCGACTAGTAACCAAAACTCTACTTCCCTTATCTCCTTGTTTCAAGAGATTCTGAAGCGGTACCCATTCCTCGTAATCTTCAGTCCACACATCATCTAGAATAAGTAAGAAACGCTTCCCGACCAAAAAGTCGAGAAGACGGGACTCGAGCAGGTCTACTGATAAATTTGAACCATATTTCATCTTTGAATGAAATTCTATCATCTCTTTAAGAATCCTCGTGAGGTCAAACTCCATCGTGACGCATACCCACATTCTAGATTCAAAATGGTTTTTTACTCTCTCGTCATTGAATAGGAGTTGAGAAAGAGTTGTCTTGCCCAGGCCTGCCATCCCAATGATGGGAATAACACATATATTACCTTCAACATTTGATTCATCCGATAGCAAAAGATTTATTATCTTTTCTTTGTCAGCATCTCTTCCGAAAACATCGGCAGTGTCCACAGATTGTCCTGTCCGAGGGCGGTTTTGAGGCCTCCCATTAGCAACATTGATATTGAGATGAAATTTTTGCTTTTCTTCAGCTATGATATCAAGTCTTGCTGAAAGATCCTGAATCTTATGAGCAACTTTAGATTTATAGGAAATTTTTTTGGCACTGAGCTGTTGCTTTCTCTTAGAAAGAGCAGCTTCAGTCGCGAAAGTGTCGAGTATGTCCTCAGCATCATAGACTGCATCTTTGAGCTTTCCGAGCCAGTCTTTTAGCTCATGGTGATCCACTTGCCTCTTCTCTGCATCTTCCAGCACGGCTTTGATGGCTCTCAAATTGCTTGATAACTTTTCAACATGTTTCTTGACACCACGTACAAGGTCGAACTCTTCTTTGATCAAGGAGCTAGTAATTTCGATAACTTTATCCATAATGGCAGTAATAACAATTGAACCTGGATCCGACATGGCTAAGAATTAATGTTGTTTAGAGAGATTTCAAAAAAGAAAAAAGAAAACTGAGTTTAAGTTAGTTTGATTATCATTTCAGATTTTAGACCCATATTTATAAGGAGATTCGTTGTACAAAAGTATCACCGGTAATTGATTAGAAACTGACTTAGTTAATGTCAAGTTATTATTTGTAATCAACAGAAGTTTCCTCGTACATCAGTGACAAATGTGAAATAGTATTTTATTAGAAGGTTCTCTTGCTGAGTCAAGTATGGAATAGTGGCCGTTTGGTTTTCTAAATAGAGATTCTTCCATCTAGAACATCCTTTGGATTGATTGGGAATTAAGTTTCCTTACCAATTCAACTTGGTTGTACTCAAAACGACGTGGCGCCTACTTGTGTAAATTGACTGGAAATTTCTCTTGTACAAGAGGGAAAATTAATTGCATCTTGAATAGACATAAAAATTGAGTCATCAAACTTGGTCCACACGGTCTTAGAATATATAGTATCCGCATCTTTCTGTGCATCTTCCAGCACGGTTGACTGGGAATTAAGTTTCCTTACCAATTCAGCGCGGTTGTACTCAAAAGGAGTTGGCGCCTACTTGTGTAAATTGACTGGAATTTTCTCTTGCTAAGTCAAGAATGGAATAGTGGCCGTTTGGTTTCCTTACCACTTCAACGCGGCTTGTGTAAATTGACTGGAAATTTCTCTTGTACAAGCGGGAAAATTAATTGCATTTTGAGTAGACATAAAAATTGAGTCATCAAACTTGGTCCACGCGGTTTTAATATATAGTATCCGCATCTTTCTGTGCACTTTCCGAAGAAACTTGTCCTATTCAATATATAACTGAGAAGAATATGTGAATGTTGGTTTTGTATAAAACTCTGGTTTCAAACAATCATGAAGTTGAAGAAAAAGGCAACAAACAACACTGAGGAATTCCTTGAACACAAGAGAAAGGTTGCTCTCCATCTGGGATCAAATTCATGCATCTTCTTTTAATTTTTTCTGCTTTGTTTAATATTGTGTGGCTTTACCATTGTGCAGAAGACATGGGTGGATAAGAAGACAAGCTGCAAATGCTTTATGATATATCCAAGGTCACTCTATATCACTTGGGGTAGTCTTGAATATTGGACTTGGAATTACTTCAAAGATACAAGGTGAACTCATATTTTCATTTTTCAATTAATTGTTTGCTTCATCATTTGAATATAATTTTGTCCTAAATGCAGTGATGAAAACATAGAAGTGGCGAAACTAAGCCATGTTTGTTGGCTTGATGTAAGAGGGAAATTCAAAGTATCAGATCTTTCACCAGGGGCGGTTTATGAAATTGTTTATGTGGTGAAGTTAACAAAAGAGGCGTCTGGGTGGGAACTTCCTATCCACCTTAAACCATCACTCCCTGATGGCACAGTGAAGCAACGTCAAATTAGCCTTTTTGAGAAGCCAAGAGGAGAATGGATGGAGCTCAATCTTGGTAAATTCTTAACAGAAAACGGAGAACAGAATGAAGTTTGCTTTGATCTTTTTGAGCATGGAGGGCATTGGAAAAGAGGACTTGTGATTAAAGGTGCCATTCTTAGGCCAAAAACTTAAAACCTCTTTCAAATTGGGTAATTACTAGTTTGATTGGTGTCATAATGCCCCATTCCAATTTACTTATGACTTACTGGTTGATTTCTTATGTGTGCATGGCCAGGATTATTTCATTTTGGGATGTATCTTTTAATTGTATCCCTCCTATTCCTGATTCAAATATCTTCAAAGCGATTGATAATCAATGTAGTTATCATTCATATATTATTTAGTTTGAAGTCACATACTGCTCGAGGAATGAGAAAACCAGAAAACAAGTTCCACAAGCGTAGGACATAAAAATGGTAGCTATTTGGTGGCTTGGCGTCAACGCCACAACCATCATCTCCTACAATGTGAAGTAGATAAGGCACATGATTATAAAGTAGAAGAACATGAAGAATTTTCTCCCCTGCCACTCGGATCCAATCATAGAGTAGAGGATAAGAGTGTACATGATAGTTTGAATTAACACACACAGTATCTCTATGAGTACCTGGAAAATGAGGGAAAGTAAATTAGTCAAGTAGTATTCAATGGCTTCACATGCATTTTACCTTTTGACGACGTAATATATAATATTAGCTTTTCAGGTTTGGGCTTCTAAAGGAATTTTCCTTGATTATTTGATTCAGTTTCTAATTTGAAAGAAATAAGCTCCTGTTCAATGTTCCATTAGAAGGGGAAAATACAAAAACAAATGTAACTTCAAGAGATGAGATTGTTTACTTGAGCGAATGCATAAGGTAGAGCAGAACACATCCTAGCTAACTGTCCTCTCAATATCAACAACGAACTGCACACCAGTAGCAGCATGCACAGCTCCTAAAAAGTCAATCAGATCTTGCTGATTGGTTCTGTACAATAAATAAATCAAGGTCCAAATAAACACCAAATTATTATATTTTCATCCAGATGAGGAGTAAAACAAAGGCTTCCTTTGTTTCAATTCTCATAATACTACTTTTAGTATTCCCAAAAAAGTTAAACAGTAAAATACCCAAAAACTTTGATTTTTGGGAATACTACTCTCAATATTATTCAACTTTTTTTAAACCCCTTAAATTTGATAATTTAATTAAATACCCCTAAATATTTTTTTAAAAATTACAAAAACACCCCAGTAATTCATATTTACCAGATTCCGGCCACCACTGCCGGAAAATGGCCGGAATCTGTTAGGATAGCGCACTACCGGCTGAATCTGGTCGGTAGTGCGCCAATCTAGCCTTTTCCGGTCAGATCCATGGTGGATCTGACCGGAAAAGGCCAGATCTTTGGCCGTAACAGTTTATAACGACGGCCAACAAATGGTCGTCGTTGACCATCAACGATGACCGTTTGTTGGTCGTCGTTGACGAGCAAATACGGCCAGATCTGACCAGCAAAGGCAATATCGATGCACGACCGGTAAGATCCAGTCGGTCATTCGTCAATACGGTGAATCCGACCACCCTCCGACGGTGGTGGCCGGCTGTCCGTATTTTAGGTTGGGGGTGTTTTTGTTAACTTTTAAGATTTTATTATAGGGGGTGTTTTGTAAATAAACAAATATAAGGGGTATTTTATTAATTTATAAATCTTACATCGTAATACCCGTCCAATTCAACTTTTTTTTTTAACTTTTTTCAAAAAAAAATTTCCCAAAAACTCTCAATTGTGAACCAAACGAAGCCAAAGAAGAACTATGAAAAAGAGAGGATGCTTTCATCCGTTATTTCTTTCAACAAGCAATATACTTGAATCTAACTGATTATTATACAAAGAAATGTTATTGTTGGCTAAATGAATTGTATGATAACATCTAAAATTCTAAAACATTATTTATAGATTTTTTTTTGGCTGGCCCTTTATGGTAACCAATAAATTAAACATAAGGGAAAAGTTAACTTAACGTTTTTTGACCTTCGTCCCAGAAGACAAGACCAAAAAGAAGGCCAATACATAAAGTTAGGATAAACCGAATGATGATATTATATTCAGGGTGTCTCCAGTAAGACCAAAATTGTTTCCAGAAGCAAGCTTTGCTCTGAGTAAAAAAGGGTCGTGAGTATTTGGTTGGTAAGAAGAGATCATTAGAGCTCGGAGCTAGAGTACTAAGCTCTTTGATAAGTTCTTGATTCCTCCTGAAAGTGTGCCAAGAAAGAAATTATTTAGAACAATACTTAAAATTCTAAGCCATATTGAAAAAGTTAAATAGTGGTAAAACTATGTATTGATACACTCAGATTTACTGATATAAAGAGGAGTTGGCATAGATTTCAGCAAAATCCACATCCATTTGAGCCTCGACCGAAGGAGCAGTGACCTCAAGCATCCATGTAGCTGGATTGCATCCATCCTTAATTTTAGGAACCCCTGGGGCAGCCTGAAATAGGTTATAAATATTAGGTCTCAGTGCAATTTCAAATCCACGAATTCATTAAGGATTTTCCTAAAATAAAATGAATAAAACATGTGAGGGACATGAAATTAAAATGATCAGAGTCTATTCTTTGTTTATTTGCTGTTAACATAATCAATCATACAGACAACGAAACATGAATTATTCACCTCAAACTATTCTCTGAGTTTGTGAGAATGGCGACCAAGAGGTCCTGTATAAATGACTTGTCCACCTCGTTTCATCAATAGTAGCTGTAATAACCACAATATCGTGTTGCATGTTAAAAACATGTAAACAAAGAAGAAAGCATAAAACAAAGAAAACACCAAGGGAAGTCTATAAAAGTTGAGCATTACATCGTCAAAGGCTTCAAATATGTTGATGCTAGGTTGGTGTATACTGCATACACAGGTCTTCCCGTATCCGCTGTATTTCTCACCATACGCATGACAATGGTAGCTGCTCTAGCATCAAGACCAGATGTTGGCTCATCCATGAAGATGATAGAGGGGTTAGCAGCCAGCTCTAAAGCTACCGTCAACCTCTTTCTTTGTTCTGTTGAAAGACCATCTATTCCTGGAAGCCCAACTAAAGCATTCCTCAATGGTTTGAGCTCAACCAACTCCATAACTTCTTTGACAAACATCTGCATGATACATTGAGCTGAATTAAATTATAATGGCAACTTTAGCTAATAGTTCAAAGTATGAAGATAGGGAGAAAGTTCCATCAGAGTTAGGAACCTATTATTATACAAGAATTTCAACATACCGTTCGTGATTTTGTATCTATTTCCGAAGGAACATGAAGCCAAGCTGAGTATAGGAGTGATTCATAAACAGTAACCACTCACACGTGCAAATGTTTCTTGGTTCTTTGGGTAGCCAGAAATGCTAATACTTCCTTCAATATACCCTCCGGTCTTCCTTCCTGCCAAGACATCCATCAGAGTTGTCTTCCCCGCACCACTAACACCTACTAGTGCCGTCAATATCCCTGGTCTGAAAGCACCACTAACATCCCGTAGCAGTTGAAGACGATCTTATTCAATCCCTTGGGTCTTCATTCCCCGGTAAGCAATGATAATTAATTCATTTCAGCATATGCTTGTGAGAATCAAAACATTTTCAACAAGATCATTCATTTAAATGCGTCTAACAATTTAAAAAAAAATGTTTAGTTACATGATGGACTTAAAAGAAGCCATTCTAATTTTTCTAGAGGTGGTAAACCGAAAATGAAAACGTTGTACAAATGACAATACATACTGTTCTCGAATGATCTCCTAAATTCCATGACTCTATGCTATAGCACAGAAGAGATCTAAAGGTCAAGCAACCTAGTTATTAGTGTTTATTTCATTGCTCATGCTGGTTTTTGGCACAGATCATCATTGACTAGCAATGGTAAGTGTTAATTCTGTTGTGAAATGATAAGATTTCCAGGCTTTCAACGATATGGAAATTTGGTTATGGTTTCGGAAATGTCAATAATCAGGGAAGCTTCTAGGACAAAAAAAGTCTATTTAAACACTAAAGATAAATATATGCTTCGAGGTGAATGACTTACAACAGGCATATCCGCGTAGTAGTTCACATGGTTGAATACAAGTGAGTGGGGTTGGAAAGGCAAAACCATTCCTCTTTTAGAGTCAGCAAGGTCTGATGAACTTCTCATTGCCAAGTTAATACCTGCAATTGTTTGTCAAAGTCAACGTATTTAGACAGATATAATATCAATGGACTTTACACAGTGCATGAATAAGAGATTTTTCTTCGGCGCATGACATAACAATCTAGAAGATAAGTACTGTTCCATACATGCTTTGGAACGTAACTATTTATATGTTCATCATATCAGTATATTTTTCTATTGAAATCTTAAAGAGGTGGATGAGGGCTTGTGGAAAAACGCTGGAATACGATTCTGATAGAACCTGACCTGCAAATCCACTGACAATACCAACAAGCTATTCCACAACACACAACCAACACTCACAATCAATAAAGAAAATAACCTGTTGTATTAATAGCCACACAGATCATTACAACCAGTGAAGATACATCCAGAAGCCATGTCCTATCAGTACTCAATAAGTAAATAACCTGAGAAAATAAGGCAAGTACACTAAGAAAATGATAAACGAAAAACTTTCGAGCGTCAGTCACCTCCACAAATACTGACTTCGAGGGTCAGCTGCCTCCCTTCCAATTTACTTTTTAATTCTGGATATCCTGTTTCTCTCCCCTCTCTGTTTTTATTCTCTCCTGACACCTTTTGTGATCCTAACCGAATTCCTCCTACATCCACTCTTATCAAGCCATCTGTCCTTCCTAACAAACTCTAACCTTCTACACAACAAATGTCAGCAATTATTCCCGCAATTATTCCTCTACTCCTTACCCCTGCCCTTCCTATGGTATACCAGCCCCATTGGGTGTTCATCATTACCCTCCCCAAGGAGAATCACCTTGTCCTGAAGGTGGAAAGAAGGAAATTGGTGATGAATGGTGTCAAAATCCTCCCACGTGTTTTCTTAAGAAGGTAATCCTTTCCATTGAATCAGCACCTCCCACTATCCATTCAGAAGTTTCCTTTTCTTAAGGACTGCTTCAGGTTCAAGTTGTAAAGTTAAATCCTCGTTGAGGGCTGCCGGTAGAGGTTGGCTATTGGGAATTGGGAACGTTGCTTTCTTCAGTTGCGAAACATGGAAACGTCATGAATACAAGCTGAAGAAGGTAGGGTCAGTCTGTATGCCACGGCCCCAATTCTGTCCGTGATTACAAAGGGACCGTAAAACCGTAGGCTCAATTTCTCATTATAGCGATGAGCTAAAGATCGTAATCGGTATGGTTGTAACTTCAAATATACAGAGTCCCCTATCTCAAATGTAACCTCTCGGCGATGGCGATCAACATACACTTTCATGCGGTTTTGAGCCTTGAGAAGATTTGCCTTTAACTCCTCAATAATATGGCTTCGTTGCTGAAGTTTCTGGTCAACTTCTTCAACTGGAGAAGCATGGTCCGCATAGCGTAACACTGTTGGAGGTTCACGGCCATAGAGAGCTTTAAATGGACACATTCCCGTGGAGCTATGATAAGTGGTGTTGAACCAAAATTCTGCCCATGGAACCCATTTTGGCCACTTTTGTGGGTGGCTATTGACAAAGCACCTGAGGTATGTCTCTAAGCAATGGTTTACAACTTCTGTTTGACCATCCGTCTGTGGATGGTAGGCTGAACTCATGTGCAAATGGGTCCCGGACTGTTTGAATAATTCAGCCCAAAAGTTGCTCATGAAAATCCGATCTCGATCTGAAACAATGGTTCAGGGAAACCCATGCAACCTGACCACTTCTTTGATAAACAGATCCGCTACCACTTTGGCTGTGTACGGGTGTTTAAGAGTGACAAAATGGCTGTATTTTGTCAAACGATCGACCACCACCAGAATAGTATCAACCCCATTCGATTTGGGCAGCCCCATAATGAAATCCATAGAGACATCATCCCACACATGGTTAGGAATCGGTAATGGTTGAAGCAAACCGGCTGGACTTAATGCATCGTATTTATTTTGTTGACAGACGCGGCAAATAGCTACAAATTCCTTGATATCTTTCTTCATTCCCTCCCAAAACACCACATTCGAGATTCGCTTGTATGTTCGAAAAAATCCAGAATGGCCCCCAATAGGTGAAGTATGAAATTCCTGTAATATTTGATGGATGTGAGGCCCTGATTTAGGTAACACTAACTTGTTATGGTACAGCAGATGGCGTCCCACCAATCTGAAAGGAGAATGGCTGTTCGGGTCAATCAGGAGTTGTTGTATAATCCTACGTAATCTGGCTTCTTGCTGGATTGCATCTTCTAAACTGTCTAGTCCCGAAAAACAGCCCACAGAAAGAACATGATGCTCGACCATATCAGGCATCCTGGAAAGAGCGTCTGCTGCTTTATTTTGCGGTCCAGGCTTATATTGCATACTGAAATCTAGTCCCAACAGTTTGATAACCCACTTTTGTTGACTTTCACTTAATAATTTCTGGTCGGTTAAGAAATGGAGACTCCGCTGATCTGTCCGAATAAAAAAATGTCTTCCCAAGAGGTAATGGCGCCACTTTTGCACAGCCAACACTACAGCCATTAATTCCCGCTCATAGACTGATTTCAGTTTAGAATTGAGAGACAACCCTTTGTTGAGAAATGCGATAGGCCGCCCCTCTTGCATCAACACAACCCCTAACCCTCTGCCCAAAGTATCGGTCTCTATAATAAAATCCTGAGTGAAATTTGGCATCCGCAGGACAGGGACACTGGTCATGATTCTTTTTAACTCTTCGAAAGCCCGTTGAGCTGCTGTATTCCATACAAAAGAGTCCTTCTTTAATAGGGCAGTGAGTGGAAGAGCTATTTTACCATAATCGCGCACAAAGCGACGGTAGTATCCTGTCAGCCCAAGAAATCCTCTGAGTGCCCTGATGTCCTTTGGTTCTGGCCATTTAGTGATGCTGTCTATCTTTGAAGGATCCACGGCCACACCCTTAGCTGACACTACATGTCCCAAATATTCTAACTGGAGCTGCCCGAATTGGCATTTCTTCTGATTTTCCACCAACTGATTCTCCAATAATACCTGCAAAATAATGCTTAAATGCTTCGCATGTTCGTCCATCTCCTACTGTAAATCAGTATATCGTCGAAGAATACCAATAAAAATTTTCTTAAATACGGCCTGAATACATCATTCATGACTGCTTGAAAAATTGCCGGTGCATTGGTAAGGCCGAAAGGCATTATGAGAAATTCATAATGCCCTTCATGTGTTCGAAAAGCAGTCTTGTGTGTGTCTTCTGGTTTCACTCTGATTTGATTATATCCGGATTTCAAATCGAGTTTAGAAAATACTGTTGCCCCTTCTAACTCATCAAACAATTCGTCGATAGCGGGAATCGAAAATTTATCTGGAATTGTCACCTTGTTAACTGCCCGATAGTCTATACAAAATCGCCACCCTCCATCCTTCTTTTTCACCAATAAAACAGGGTTGGAGAATGGATTGACGTTCGGTTTTATAATTCCCGAAGCCAACATTTCCTTGACAATACGCTCTATTTCATTTTTCTGATAATAAGGGTACCGGTATGGCCTGAGGTTTGGTGGTTGTGTTCCCGGAACTAACTAAATGGCATGGTCTTTTGACCTGGCAGGTGGTAACCCCGGAAGTGGCTCGAAGACTCGGCTAAAGTTTCTCAAGACCTCCAGTAGTCTGTCATCGATACTCCCAATTTTTTCACACTGAGTCTGTATCTGCCAAAACTCTATCAAACAGCCCTGTCTTTCACTCTGCAATGCCTTAATCATCGCCTTGAGGGATACCATGGTTTTGCTAAGAGACGGATCCCCATGCAGACCAACTGTCTGGTTTCCCAACGTGAACCTCATAGTTTGTTTTCTCCAATCCGTAATGGTCTCGCCTAAAGTCTTAAGCCATGCAATACCCAGAACTACGTCAGCACTGCTCATATCAAATGGGAAAAAATTTTGAACAATCGTCATCCCTTGTAACTCCATACACACATCCCGACATTCTCCTTCACACCTCACACTATACCCATCACTTACTCTGACCCCGAAAGACTGAGTCCCTACCACTGGTATTCCTAATCGTTCAACCACCTTTGAACTAATAAAATTGTGGGAAGCCCCACTATCAATCAACACAATCACTTCCTTACCTTGGATTCTTCCCTTGAGCTTCATTGTCTTCGGACCTTGAATTCCTACCACTGAACTAAGAGAAAGCTCCACATTTTCCTGCTGTTGCTTTGTTCTTGTTTCGACAGTATCTCCACCCCCAATAGGATCTGAATCATGTTCCTCGTCGTCAATCAAAATGATCTGAAATTGTTTCTCCCCACATTTGTGCCCAATCGAATATTTTCCATTGCACCTAAAGCAAATCCTTTTCTCTCTTTTCCTCTGGATCTCCGCATCTGTCATTCGACGGAAGGGAAATTCTCGCCGTTGGAAGTTCTGACGTTCGAACGGTCGGAAAGATGTCGTCGGTGGGTCGCGAGTGGAAAAGTTGGTCGAAAAGCCTTGCATGGACGATTCTGGTGATCGACGATTGAAATGGGACGTGAAATTAGTGTTTAGGGATTCGGCTGAATTGGGAAATTTTTGATTAGTTGGGTTATGTTCAAATCGGGTCACACTCCTGGATCCTTGGTTGTTGGACCCATAAGATAGCCAAGGCCCAACTGTGCGTGAAGCCTTGTTCGATCCCACTTGGGCTTCTTCTAAAGCCCGATTTCTGTCTTCTATTTATTGGGCTAACTCCATTATTTGGGTTAAGGAATTTGGTTGGGCCAATCTGACTTCAGCCCTAATCTCCACCTTCAGCCCATTCACAAAGGCAACCTGCAGTATTTCTTCCTTCTCCCCCACCAACAGAGCTGTTACTACTTCAAACTGACGACGGAACTCCATGACTGAACCAGTTTGTTTTACCGCCATTAAGGATTCATATGGGTTGAGTTCTTGTGATCCACCAAATCGTTGAAGTAGTGCCAACTTAAACATGGCCCACGAGCTTGCCAGAGTTCTGTATTCAGTCCATTGGAACCAATTTATAGCTTCACCTTCCATACAAATGGCTGCTGCCGTTAATTTTCCTTCCTCCGATATCCCATTGAGATTGAAGTAACGCTCTACTCTAAAGATCCACCCATAAGGATCTTCACCGGAAAATATAGGCATTTCCAATTTTCGTCCCCCCATTTCACTGCGGCTTTGGCCACTGTTCCCAGACCCACTGGCTCCGTTTGGGTTTTCTTCTTGGTGAGACTGTACATTCTCCGCTGAGCGCATCTCTGCTCTACCAGCTTCTTCCTCATCTTTTCGTCGCACCCAAGACTGTAACTCAACTAAACATTCTCTGCTGGTACCCATTTCCACTCCCAACTTTGAAATCTCTCTCTCAACATTATCCATTCTTGCATCCATCCTTGTCAAGACCATTACCCAGACGACAATGCTCTGATATCAATTGATAGAACCTGACCTGCAAATCCACTGACAATACCAACAAGATATTCCACAACACACAACCAACACTCACAATCAATAAAGAAAATACCTTGTTGTATTAATAGCCATACAAATCATTACAACTAGTGAAGATACATCCAGAAGCCATGTCCTATCAGTACTCAATAAGTAAATAAACTGAGAAAATAAGGCAAGTACACTAAGAAAATGATAAACGAAAAACTGGCTTTGAGGGTCAGCCACCTCCACAAATACTGACTTCGAAGGTCAGTTGCCTCCCTTCCAATTTACTTTTTAATTCTGGATATCCTGTTTCTCTCCCCTCTCTGTTTTTATTCTCTCCTGACACCTTTTGTGCTCCTAACCGAATTCCTCCTATATCCACTCTTATCAAGCCATCTGTCCTTCCTAACAAACTCTAACCTTCTACACAACAAATGTCAGCAATTATTCCCGCAATTATTCCTCTACTTCTTACCCCTGCCCTTCCTATGGTATACCAGCCCCCTTGGGTGTTCACCAGATTCTTGATTGGTATTGGTAAATAACATAATTCTCCAAGATACATACTTTTGCTAAAATTATTAGCCCTACTTAATGCAGTTTTCACTTCATGTTCATGCATTTGATATACCAGCTTTAATTCTTGTACAAATAAAACTTGACTTTGGTAAACTGAAGGAGAAAAAGTTGGAAGGAATCAGTTGAGAGGCAGACAGATGAGAATGTAAGACAAGTTCCTCCATCATCTAATAGAAAACAATTTGAGTGTAGAAAACTCCTAAAATCTCCTAGCAAGGCTAGAATCCCTATGGGAAAAAAGAAAAAGACAGCTAAAAAGTTTTATACCTACAGTGTTGCTACATACATATAATATCTAATTGAAAAATAGAATAATTGCTGGCCATTCTATGATCCGCATTTTAACAGGATTAACAAGGCTCGCAAGGAAAAATAGGAAAAACATAAACCTTCTACTCCATGTTCCTCAGAGGCTTGCTTATTCTTCTTGTCTCCATTATCCTCTATGACAGTTGCTTTTGACTCACCAAAAGCTGAAAACAATTTCCAATACGAGAAGAGATGTTAATTAAACATTGAAACTTGAACTCTGTACAAGATATCCAGAGATGAAATTAGATACAATAACTTACAACTCAAATAAGTCAATGCGCCAACGAATAAAATGTTGAAGAGAAGAGAAAATCCAAAAAGTGGTACAATGCAAATCCAAAACCAATACTCATTGGTGAAGAAGCCTCTAGCCTTAAGAAGTGCTTCCCCAACTGTAGGCGCATCAATGCTGGTGTCGTCGTTGGGCTGCATGAGATTGTAACTTGTAAGATCTTTTTGATGAATTAAGGACAGGAAAACTAGATACACCATAGTTTAGCTAAGTGAAAATTGCAATGCGAATCAAAAAGAAGATGATCAAAGCATAATAGAACTTACTGTGTCTCATGTTTTATCAAGAAACTCATTCACAGCTAGTGCATTCGGTCCATACATCATAGGAGACATATAGTAGCCCCACATTATCCATGGCTCAAGGTCATCTTCAGGAAAAAAAGCAAAAGATTTTTAAAATGAATCATTGTTCAAGGAAAAAGTATGTCTAGCAATGAACCTAATTATTTAGTAATATTTACCATCCAATACTAGGCATAATAAATTGGATTATAAACAGGTTTTGCTTAAAAAATAAATTAAAATGGCAAAAAGGGTTAAATTCTCACTTTTGGAAATAATAAATCCTCCAAGCAGAAAAACCATTAGCAAGGTGAAGGTACCCAGCAACTTTGATACAACTTCTGTTCTTCCAAGAGCAGCAATGAATCGAAAGAGGGACAGAGCCATCTGGTGTACACCAAGTAATGCCAAGGATTGTCGGAAAAACCTACAGAAGAAAAAATAAAAGGATTATTAGCAAAAGAACTCTAGTAGCTGATCTAGTTCTAATTACAGGTATGACAAAACCCATTACATAGAAACAATAATTTCAAAATATAACATCAATAGTTTTCAGCAGGTGATTATTATGGACTGAATGGAACTAGATGAATTGCTTTACCTGCTAGGAGGGAGCAAAACCAATTGTGAAGTATGTCAGAACGATCCATATAGCTGACTCCATAAACGATAAAGGGATCCTAAGAACCCATATAGGTAAGGCAAAAGCCCATGCAGGATAGAATAAGTGATCCCTTTGTTTATAGGAGACAGGAAGCTTCATAATAGTCATTGCAAGTTCCGCCATCCCATTAAACATCACATTAACTATACTGAAGAACAATGCTCCAAAATACTTATTTCCACCAAAGAAAGTGTCAGGTTTCATTTCTGATCTAAAGAACACGGACATGGCTATTAATGACATAATCGGTATCTGGGTAGTCTTGAATATATAAACAAAAGAATTACGCTTCATTGGCAGCCACTCCCTTGCAAAACATGCCTTGAACAATTCCCGATTTAGAATGCGCCATACTTTTCAATCACCAATGCAGCAGTGTGGGCTCTGGATGTGTCAAAAGGAACCCTAAGATCTAACTCAATCTGTCGGCTAATGTGGAAAGAATTGAAACCGAAACAAATCTGTATAGTTGGTTCTTCCTAAACCAATACTGTTCCTAGTCCCTTCTTGGAAGTTACTTCTTGCAGAAAGTCAGCAACTCCTTTTCTATCTGGGCATTTGAAACCCATGTATTCAAAGAATTGAAGGATATTCTCTCGTGGACCTTGATAGACAATTTGACCTTCTGAAAGTAGGACAACTTGGATGTATGCTTTGTTTTACCTTGGGCTCATCTTTTACTTCTACGTTGCCAGACTGGCAATGTAATTTGGAGTAGACTCTTCACTACATTTTTTATTAGGATGTTGAGCGCCCAAAGCACAGTAAAGAGTGCTCTCTATAGTCACTCTTACATCATCACATGTGTTAGATATTAAGTTCAGTCCTTGGCAGATTCTAATTTATTCTCTACTTGAGCAGGTTCCAGTTCCTTCTCGATTGGAGCAGGCTCCAATTCATCCTTTACTTGAGGTTCCAATTCATTATCTACTAGTGCACAGACAACTGTTCTACTCGGTGCATATACCAAGAAGGAACGAGGCCGGTCATCATACCACCCTTCCTGCACAAGCACGATTGAAGTAAAATCACATCATTAATAAAAAAAGTAGAAGAACAGATGATTTAAAAATATCCTCCGCAAGTGAAATTTCTTACTGAGCTGAAGTACTCAGCATTATGGTCAAGCCAGTTAAAGCCTCCAAAAAACTGATCATCTGAATCCAAGACAACCTGGAAAGAAGAAAACAAATATAAGTTAAATCACAAAATTAGATAGAATAATGACAATAAATTTAACTATTCTAAGAATATATACAATATGAAGTTTTAGTTTAAAGATAAATTCTGTTTGACATAGAGTAATTAATAAAATATAAATGTGGAGCTATTATATATTTTCTTACCTTGATTAGAAACATGATGGCTTAGTTTGGTTCAAAATTTTGGGTTTTTGGGAAAAGTTTTATGAAAAAAGTTTAAAAAAAAGTTAAATGGACGGGTATTACGATATAGGATTTATAAATTATAAAATACCCTTTATGTTTGTTTTTTTTACAAAATATCCCCTATAATAAAACATTAAAAGTTAACAAAAATACCCCCAATCCACCCTCAGATATGGACAGCCGGCCACCACCACCGGAGGGTGGCCGGAGTCGCCGTATTGGCGCATGACAGGTTAGATCTTGCCGGTCGTGCGCCGATATGGCCTTTTCCGGCCAGATCCACCGTGGATCTGGCCAGCAAAGGCCAGATCTACGGCCAGATCTGGCCGTTCCGTATTTGCTCGTCTACAACTGGTCAATGACGACCGTTTGTTGGCCGTCGTCACAGACTGTTACGGCCAAAGATCTGGCCGTCAACGGCCAGATTTTCGGCCTTAGATCTAGCCTTTTCCGGCCAGATCCACCTTGGATCTGGCCGAAAAAGGCTAAATCGGCGTACTACCGGCCAGATTCAGTCGGTAGTGCGTCATCCTACCAGATTTCGGCCATTTTCCGGCAGTGGTGGCCAGAATCTGGTAAATGTGGATTACTGGGGTGTTTTTGCAATTTTTTAAAAAATATTTAGGGGTATTTAATTAAATTAATAAATTTAAGGGGTTTAAAAAAAGTTGAATAATATTGAGAGTAGTATTCCCAAAAACTCTGGTTTTTGGGTATTTTACTGTTTAATTTTTTTGGGAATACTAAAAGTAGTATTCCCAATTGGCAATCAAACGAAGCCAATATTAAGTTCATATCTCATGAATATATGAGATAATAATATAAGAAAAATGCTATCCTTACAAAGACCCATACAAAGAGGGCCACTAAGTGACATCATCCAAAAGAAAAAAATAAAGAAAAAACGGAAAAAGAGAGAGAGAGAGAAATCATGAAAATCAAGGGTGTGGATTATCTTTGTATGCCCCTTTTGTATGTGTCTTTTTAAAACTAGCATTACTCAATACTATAATTTACAATATTAAATGCAATTAAATTCAGTTTTATTACTCGATATGTGAAGCTTAGGTTGACAAAATAGTTCTAAATTAAGATTAAAACTTTCTCTACTAAAAGAATCCATCAAGTCACTGTGAGAGAGGTACGAAATGACAGAAAAATAAAAGGTGTGAATTAAAGCATAAATTCAAGAAGCCTAGGCTTCGTTTGGTTCAAAATTTGGGGGTTTTGGGAAAAGTTTTTTGAAAAAAGTTAAAAAAAAGTTGAATTGGGCGGGTATTACGATGTAGAATTTATAAATTAATAAAATACCCTTTATGTTTGTTTTTTTTTAAATTTTCCTTTATAATTAAACATTAATAGTTAACAAAAATACCCTTAATCCATCCTCAAACACCCCCAGCCGGCGACCACCACCGGAGGTGGCCGGAGTCGCCTTATGGGCGCATGACCAGTTGGATCTTGCCGGTCATGCGTCGCTATGGCCTTTTCCGGCCAGATCCACGGTGGATCTGGCCGGAAAAGGCCAGATCTACGGTCAGATCTGGCCGTCAACGGCCAGATCTGGCCGTATTTACTCTCAACGACGGCCAACAAACGGTCGTCGTTGATGGTCAACGACGACCGTTTGTTGGCCATCGTGACCGAGTGTTACGGCCAAAGATCTGGCCGTCAACGGCCAGATCTTTGGCATTAGATCTGACCTTTTCCGGCCAGATCCACGGTGGATCTGGCCGGAAAAGGCTAGATCGGCGCACTACCGGCCAGATTCAGCTGGTAGTGCGCCATCCTACAGATTCTGGTAGTGGTGGCCGGAATCTGGTAAATGTGGATTGTTGGGGTGTTTTTGTAATTTTAAAAAAAATATTTAGGGGTATTTAATTAAATTAATAAATTTAGAGGGTTTAAAAAAAATTAAATAATATTGAAAATAGTATTCCCAAAAATGAGAGATTTTGGGTATTTTACTGTTTAACTTTTTTGGGAATACCAAGAGTAGTATTCCCAATCTTGAACCAAACGAAGCCCTAGAATTCGCACATGGTACTTGAAATTTAACTTGATTAAAATCCTATTGAACCGATTATTAAATACATTTCATTGACGCAAATGATATTAGAATACGCTACACCTTAATAAGTAAAAATGAATTCTAGAACAAAGAGAAAAGTTAATCTAAGATTCAAACTTTCTATTTAAATAATTGGATTATCACAAAAAAAAAAAAAAAATAAAAAAAAATAAAAAAATAATTGGGTAAGAAAAAATAACCATATGCATAAAATATTTATAAGTATCAAAGCCAAAACATAAAAAAGTGAAAAAAATTAAATGCTTACTTTATACTTTCCTGGCTTTAAGCAGCTGATTCGGTAGTCAAAATCGCTGTTACTCCAACGAAAATTGAAGACAAAAACAAGGGCTCCGTTTGGTTGCCAATTGGGAATACTACTTTTAGTATTCCCAAAAAAGTTAAACAGTAAAATATCCAAAAATTTTGATTTTTGGGAATACTACTCCCAATATTATTCAATTTTTTTTAAACCCCTTAAATTTGATAATTTAATTAAATACCCCTAAATATTTTTTTAAAAATTACAAAAACACCCCAGTAATTCATATTTACCAGATTCCGGCCACCACTGCCGAAAAATGGCCGAAATCTGTTAGGATGGGGCACTACCGGCTGAATCTGGCCGGTAGTGCGCCGATCTAGCCTTTTCCGGTCAGATCCACGGTGGATCTGGCCGGTGGATCTGACCGGAAAAGGCCAGATCTAAGGCCAAAGATCTGGCCGTTAACAGCCAGATCTTTGGCCGTAACGGTTTATAACGACGGCCAACAAACGGTCGTCGTTGACCATCAACGACGACCGTTTGTTGATCATCGTTGACAAGAAAATACGGCCAGATCCACCGTGGATCTGGCCAGCAAAGGCCATAGCGGCGCACGACCGGCAAGATCCAGCCGGTCATGCGCCAATACGGTGAACCCGGCCACCCTCCGGCGGTGGTGGCCGGCTGTCCGTATTTGACATTGGGTTGGGGGTGTTTTTGTTAACTTTTAAGATTTTATTATAGGGGGTGTTTTGTAAATAAACAAATATAGGGGGTATTTTATTAATTTATAAATCCTACATCGTAATACCCGCCCAATTCAACTTTTTTTTAACTTTTCTCAGAAAACTTTTCCCAAAAACACCCAATTATGAACCAAACGAAGCCAAGGTTTCCCCTCTCAAAGACAATAATCCTGTCTCCTTCATCTTTACGTGATATGTATTGATGCTCAGAAGTCATAAACTGCATCAACAGTTAACTAGTAAATCAATAAAAGGTGTGATTAAATTCAAGAAGCCTAGAATTTGCACATGGTACATGAAATTTAACTTGATTAAAATCCTATTGAACCGATTATTGAATACATTTCATTGACGCAAATGTTATTAGAATACACTACACCCTAATAAGTAAAAATGAAATCTAGAACTAAGAGAAAAGTTAATCTAAGATTCAAACTTTCTATTAAAATAATTGGATTATACCAAAAAAAAAAAGAGAGTAAAGAAAAAATCACGATATGCATAAAATATTTACAAGTATCAAAGCTAAAACATGAAAAAGTGAAAAAAATTAAACGCTTACCTTATACTTTCTTGGCTTTAAGCAGCCGATTCGGAAGTCAAAATTAGGGGTGTTCGGTTCCAGGTACCCTGCATTTTTTTAAGGAACAGGAATCGAAATCGACGGTTCCTTGAAATTTGGAACCAGAACCGGAATCGACGGTTCCGGTTCCTAGATACCAAGAACCGGAATCTATAACAACGGTTCATGTTCCGGTTCTGGGTACGCTATAAAATTACAATGACCCCCCCAAAGTTTTTAAAATTGCAAAAAACCCTTAAAAACTTACAAATACCCCCTACCTGACACTTGTTAACAAAAATAAAATTACAAACTTCATTGCTTTGTAAAGGTAGATTCTCAAAAGTCAAACCAACTTACTTTAAATGTTATGAAATATAAATATAAATATATTCACATTATTTTTTCTACAAAAGTTTTTATTAACCCCCTACTCTTTAATTTTATTTTATATTAGTCTCGGTTCCCGATTCCAGTTCCGGTTCCTAACTATAGGAACCGGAACCGCACAGTAACGGTTCCAAATTCTGGGTAAGAGCAGGAACCAAACCCCAGGTACCCGTAGGTTTCGGTTCCAATCGGTTCTTTTGAACACCCCTAGTCAAAATAGTTGTTATTCCAATGAAAATTGAAGGCAAAAACAAGGTTTCCCCTCTCAAAGACAATAATCTTGTCTCCTTCATCTTTAAGTGATATGTATTGATGCTCGGAAGTCATAAACTACATCAACAGTTAACTAGTAGATCAATTTTTAATTCTAAAAAGTCTTAAAGGTGTACTGGT